TGTTCTCTTAGCCGTGGGGAGCCCTGCCATAGCCACTAAGTACACAGCTTTCGAAAAGCAGTCGGTGATGGTGAGGATGGTGTCCAGGTGGTCGGCAGCGGGGAGCCCCGTGACAAAGTCCACACCTTATGTGCGACCACGGCCGTTTGGGCACAGGGAGCGGTTGTAATTCCCCGGCTCCAGGTTGGGTGGAGGACTTAGACCGGGCGCAGGTGTCGCATGCAGCGGTGGACTCGCGCACGTCCTTTCTCATAGAGGGCCACCACAGGGCCCGGCGGAGGAATTGGAGGGTACGAGCCTGGCCTTGGTGTCCCGCGAGCCGTGAACTATGCCCCCACCTCAAGGCCTCCTGTCGGCACACGGCCGGAACGTAAAGGCGGTTAGGAGGTGTCTCTGGGGTCGCCGGGTCAGCCGGGAGGGCCGCCCGGATGGAGGCTTCCAGAGGCTATTGCAGGGCGGCCAAGAACCGTTCGGTCGGGAGGATGGACAACGGTTCAGGAGGCCTGGGGTCCTGGGTGTGCTGACGGGAAAGGGCATCTGCCTTGAGGTTTTTTGAGCCGGGGCGGTAGGTGATGTGAAAGTTATAAGGCTCGAAAAAGAGGGTCCACCGGGCCTGACGAGGGTTGAGTTGGCGAGCGGTCTGAATATGGATGAGGTTCTGATGATCAGTCCAGATTAGAAAAGGAGTGGGAGTACCCAGGAGCCACTGTCACCACTCTTCCAGGGCCCACTTTATCGCCAACAGTTCCCAGTCCCCGACCCCATAGTTCTGCTGAGTAGGAGAGAACTTCCGGGAAAAGTATGCACAGGGGTGGAGTTTGGAGTCCAGGCCCCGTTGTGATAGTACGGCTCCCGTGCCCATCTCAGAGGCGTCTACCTCCACAACGAAGGGCTGTGTTAGGTCCGGGTGGAGGAGGATGGGTTTGCTTACAAAGCGGCGGACCAGATCATGGAAGGCGGCAACAGCCTCAGGGGGGAGGCTGATTGGTTGTCTTAGTCATGGAAGTTAACGGTGATGCCAGGGCACTGAAATTGCAGATAAACCGGCGATAGAAGTTGCAGAACCCCAGGAAACTCTGCAGCTGCTTCAGGATCTTAGGTAGTGGCCACTGCGCTACCGCCTGAACCTTCTGTAGGTCCATGCGTAGGCCCTGGGAGGAGATGATGAACCCCAGAAACGAGGTGGACTCCTGGTGAAAGGCACACTTCTCCAGTTTACAGAATAAGTCATGCTCCAGGAGGCGTGACAGAACGGCTCGAACATGCTGGGTGTGTTCCTTGGCAGTGCGGGAGTAGATGAGGATGTCGTCTAAACAAACAAAAACCCAACGGCCCAGCATGTCACGGAGGACATCAGTGATGAAATGCTGAAAAACGGCAGGGCTGTTGCAGAGGCCGAAGAGCATGACCAGGTACTCATAATGTCCAGTGGGTGTAATAAATGCGGTTTTCCACTCCTCTCCTTCCTTTATGCGGGTGAGGTTGTATGCACTGCGGAAGTCCAGCTTTGTAAACAGTGTGGCTTGGGCGGTGGCGTCCAAAGCCCTGCTCATTAAAGGAAGATGATGGCAGTCCCTGATGGCGATCTTATTTAACCCATAATAGTCTATACAGGGCCGGAGGTCTCCCTCCTTCTTCTTCACAAAGAAGAACCCTGCCGCTCCAAGAGACGTGGAATGGCTGATGAACCCCTTCTGGAGAGCCTTGTTGATATAAGCGTCCATCGCCTGGGTCTCTGGCGGGGAGAGCGAGAACAGCCGACCCCGAGGCGGGGTGGTTCCGGGCTGGAGCCTGATCTCCAGATCGTAGGGTCGATGAGGAGGCAGCCTGGTGGTAGTGAGAAGGTTTGATGATGTTCTGTGGTATCATAGGTTTTGTTGCTGGGGTTTTCTATCTCTGAGATAAAAGGAGAGGGGGCTAAACTGTTGTTCAGCCACAATAACTAGTTGAACAAGTGATAGATTTTCCTTTTACTGATGACAAAACAAGACATCTAAAAATAGGCAAAAGTCACTCACAACATTAAAGTATTTGTTTGTTTTTTTTTTGGTATTTTTCTTCTTTATTTTTAAATTAAAATACTAAGAAGTTATTTATATAGCACTTTTCGCAGATACAAATCACAAAGTCACAAAGTGCTTCACAAACAAAAACAAACAATGGAGACAATGAATGACAAAAATCATAACAATTTTAATACCGGTCACTCCAAGTTCAACATGTAGGATGATTGCGAACATAGTTTTCTACACCTAGCTTCTGATAAAAAATAAATAAATAAGGAAGCGCTCAGATTTGAAAAGCCTGACACTTCTACGTCAAGCTGTTGCTTGTACTCACCCATCTTGGCTTGCAACATGGAAGGCTGTTGTTGTTTTAGCATCCAGAGAGCAGAGAACGTCTCCGCTAGTAGAAGCTAACTATTAGCAACACCGACACACAGCAGAACTCCACCAGGCTTATGTTATTTGTTGAGATAAAACATACACATTGCTCATCCAAACCGAGGCAAGATGTCCAAATATCAGGAAATGAGACTCCAAATCCTGGTGTCAAAATCTCAGCTTTGATGTGCCTTACTTCTAGTTCCTAGAAATGGTGCACCAGTGTTTTTTGCCCCTTGAGAACGAATTACAAGGCATTCATTCCTACTGGAGAAGACTGTAAATGTGTTTATTAAATGAGTGCTCAACACCTTTAAGCGCCTGTTGAGTCTAGTTAAGTCTGCTTTCTAAAAACTCTCAGCTGCTGATGTTTTTCGTGATGTGTAGAAGAATTAAACTAGTTCAACATCAAATTGTTTGCATTGAATTGAAGCAATACATTCCTACTCCCCTCCCTCTTAAACCTGTCATATTATATCATTTTGAGAGAAGATTTTGTCATCTGATAAATGCTTTTTCTTGACTTAGAACATAAATATTGATCCCTCTCTTAAAAATGGGGTCTATTCCATTTTTAAACACAAATCCAGAACTTTTTGATGTTACTTTTTTGCATTTTTGTGCACTTGGTTTTCTCGTTTAGGTTATGAACACCAGTCCTTGGATAAAGAGCCCGTCTAACGCTGAACAAACCCACGTTTAGGCTTTAGTTCCCGTGAAACGCCAGCAGATGTCACAGCTCTCACAGATTTGGGTTGTTCCTGTTTCTGCTCACTGTGGCTTGGGGCCAAACTCCTGATGTGCTTGCAGCAGCATGGTTTTTCAGCTCACTGAGAGCTATGCAGCAGTCATTTCCTGCCTTGGTGGCTTTGGGTCTATTTCCTCTTTTGTGAAGTTTATACTTGCTGCCAGCTGCCATTTTCCCCCAGAGACCACACAGAAGACAGTAACTCTTAAAAGAATGCACATTTCAACTGAACTTTTCTTCCTTGATGAGCAATCTGTTGACCAAGTGGTGCACATGGGTGACTCTTTGGTATGTCACATGATCAAATGATTGCAGTGTTGGCACACAAGCTACGACATGTGCTCATATAAGGCAAGCTGCTTTATATTCCGGATGTGGGGAGGGACTCTCGACTCTAAACCGTAAATCCACATAGAGGAAGAGAAGCGGCTGCTGATGATAAGGCAGAGTGTCTGCAAACATATAAATAGTATCAGTGAAGAAAGGCCTTGAATCTCCACCAAAATTACAGGTCTAAAAGATCCCAACTGTGTGGGACACCAAAGAAAGATCTACTCCCTATGAGAGCTGCAAATCTAACACATGCAAGGTCACGGGTTTCCTAAAGGTTAGGGGTAATTATAAAGAACTACAAAGCAAAGAATAAGAAGAAGTCATAGAACAGTTTCTAAAGTTTGTAACAAAAGTGAGAAAACATGGAGTTTTGGTACAATTATGACCCCTAACTAATTGATTTTCTAAGAAAAAAAGTCATTTGATGAACTGTGAACTTGTCCAAAGTGCACCAACAAGTCCAACGAGCTTTGTAGGCTAAAGTTAAACCACATTGACATCAATTAAGTCATAAAATGAAAGTTTTTCCATGTAAACATAGTTTGAGAATACAGTTAACTAGATTAAGACATTTACTTGGATCTTATTTTGTAGTTACTTTCATGTAAAGTAGAATTATTCAGTTTAAGGTGTTTAATTTGTGGATTGCATCTAATTTTATTTACCAAAAATTGTCCAAAAATGTAATTAGAACAATTAAATTTAAGTGTATTTATATAGCGCTAAATTACGACAAGGGTCGTCTCAAGGCGCTTCACACAGTCTAATCTACAAAATAAACAACAACAACTTCTTTGAGTTGCTTTGTTTACTTTCATCAACTGGATGTAATAAAAAAACTGACCATTTAACTCCAACTCCAGCTGAATTCAGACTGAAGTTTAGTATTTTTTTCATATTTTAAAAAAATTCCTCAGAGCCTTATTTAAGGTGTAATTGTTCTCTGATCCAGTTCCTAACCCTGAAGGGACCAGGATTTTGTCAATTTAGCTCCTAATCATTCTCATCATTCTCTTCCTCATCGATCTGTGCAAATTTCCCACCAATCATTTGCATTTCCTATAAAGAACGTGCAACTTTAGGTAAAAAATGTCAGGTATGTCCTCTAAAACATCAGATCTGTGTAAAGACATCAACCCAGAGCCGCTCATGGGTGGGATGCCACAGCTGAGTCTCAACAGGTTGCTTGAAGAAATTCTTTGGACACCTGTTTGAACTCGTTCTGCATTTAACCTTATAAGGGCAACTGAGCCACTTCTCATCTGCAGGTGAGTTTAAAAAATGTGGACTGGTTTGCTTTCCATATAAGGAGATTACCTGCCACTCCCACCTTTAACACCTGTAGTTAATCTAAAAAATCAAGATCAATCTAAAGCTCCACTTAAGTGTTTCAGACCAGACAGAGACAAAAATGGTTGTAGTTGGGATGAACAGTGAAGCCGGTGGAAAATCTGTGATTCAGGCTCCAAAAGTGATCTAATTAAGGGCTGGGGTGCAGCTGAAAGTGTGTCACACCTGCGCAGATGGAGGTGTGTCCATCTTTGGAGGTGTGCTCATTTAGCAGAGCTCCACCTCTGAGTGAGTCAACCTGCTGCTCTTCTTCCTTATGACCCTTCAGCATTTTGACTGCTGCTGCCATTTTTTCTCTGCCGCCTGTTTCCATCACACATCTCAAACAAAATGGTGAGTATGCTTCTCTGGTGTCTCCAGATTCAGTTTCTACATTCAGTGAGCAGTTTGTACTTGAATGTGTAAGAAAACAAGCTTTGATTTGATATGAACTACTTTAGGGTATGTGAAATGTGTAAAATTGGAAATTGTATTCACTTAGACTGAATGGGAAGGTTTGGTGCTTCAGTGGTGTGGGGGGTGGCATGTTTTGTGAGAGGAAACCTAAATCTAATATTTGGTGACAAAGGGTTAGTTCAAGGTGTGGTTTGCCTCCAAAATGGAGGGAGCTTTTTGTTCGTGCTTCTGAGAGATTCCCTTTAGGGCGGTGTGTTCATGTGCCAACTTGTTCCACAATGACAGGAATGTGACAGAACCAAGGCCCTGGAAATCTGTAGGAAAGACACTTTCACATGGAGCTGATTTTATTCTATGTTTTTTAAAGGGCTTTAAATGTTTAGCACCTTTTTTGGTTGCCCTAACGAGGCCCTTTTCACTTTAGTTCCAAACGGCTTCCTGTTTCTTCATAGTTCACTTCTTCTTTTTTTTCCTCTTCCGAACCCACGCACAAGTTCCTGAAGCACAAATCTAGGCTGTAATTTGATTTATTTGCAGCCCTTAAACCATTTTCTGTCACTTTGAAATTTGTCATTTTTTAAGGCAACTCCTGGACATTAGGTGTCTTTAAAAACTTTTTCCTCTATCACAGGCCTCTGGAGTGCAAGTCTGTGACGATGTGAAAGACATCATCAAAGACATGAAAGTAGTCAAGACTGATGCTGACACAAACGACCGTATTAGACTGGTGCTCCTAGAAATCAAAGATGGCAAAATCGTTATCGAAAGAACCTACAGGCAGAAGGATTTGTCAGATGAGCCGGATATCTTCAAGTTCTTCTTGAAACAACTGGAAAACGATAAATGCCGCTACCTGCTGTACGACTGCCACTTTGAGACCAAGGAAAGCAAAAAAGAAGAGCTGGTGTTTGTGATGTGGTAGGTTTACGCTCAAAAGTGTAATTTGACTAACTTCTACCTCTCAACTGACTTCCTGCAGACTGTAGTCTTGAATCTATTTTTTGGGGATAGGGCAACCAAATAATGACTTATTATTCTGCCAGGGCTCCTGATACTGCACCCATTAAGGCAAAGATGCAGATTGCAAGCTCAAAAGATGCTCTTAAGAAGATCTTGACAGGTGTGTGTGGTTAAATTTTTAATATTTTTTTATTTTGCAATTTTAAATTTAACTTTCTGGTCCTAAAATGTTTCTCTTTCGCAGGTATCAAACACGAGATCCAGATGAACGACCTTTCGGATTACGGAACCAGGGAAGGTTTTGCAGACAAAATGGGAAAGTGTGTTCAATCAGTTGAAGGCCATCCTGTCGGATGTTAGGAAGGCAACCCTCCAAGCCATAAAGAATCAACCATTCCCTGTTTCCAAATAAAGAATTTGAGGATCCTTCCTGGCAGTTTCTATTTCCTATTCTTTCCATCAAACTGCTGAAGTCAAATCGGAACTAGTAAAACGAACCTGCTGTTTTTGCTCAAGTGTTTTAAGGTTATTGATTCTAATTTAGTGAATCTGGGTTCCTCTAATCAACAATATGCTCGTGTACATATGGTCAGAGTTCTGCATGTTCAGTTTGTTTAAAGGAAAACACGACTGTTGCTAAACCATGTGCCAGAAAATTCCCTAAAATGTTTACAAGGTCTTGTATTTTGACCCAAATCTGTATTTTCTACACTGTAACGCATATGCCTGGAAAAATTAAAGCAAGATCTATCGATTTACTGAAGTTTTCATTTAAATGGCAGTTGTGAAGTAATTTGAATAATGAGTTATTCCTGAATGTTCAAAGTGGCAGCCATGGATCTGTTTTAGCTTTGAGCAATGTTGGCTTAGTGGAATTAATTTTAATGTTAAAGCAATATTATTTGGTTCTCAGCCTGCTAAATTTCCTGGTAGGACTTGAACCAAAAACTTGTCTGCTTCTGCAGCAGCGTGAGCCCGCGCTCTAAACTGTTGCCATATTTAGTTTGATTTTGGTTGTGAAACGAAACTGGATCAGTTTCATCACCCAAACTCGAGCCCCCACACAAACCAGGAAGTTGTAAGACTGCTAAGTTTTGATCCGACTACATGACCATCCAGTCCTGCATTCATTTGTTTGAAGGAAACAGTTAAAACACTTCCTGGTTTCTCCTTCAGAAAAGCAGCCGCCCAACAGAATGCTGAGATTAGAATTACCCTAGCTTTTGCAACCCTCAATTTTACTCTATAAATGTAGCAACACTTCCTGTTAGGAACAGACTGAGTACACAGGCAGGATGTGTAACTTCTAATAGCGGTGCAATAGCTTTGAGTCAACTCCCACTTCTAGCAGGTCTTGAGGATGTGCTCTACGTGTAACCACACCTTAAACTGTGCAAATATTAACTCGTGCTGCTTGGTACCTTAACCTGACAGTAAACACACCACTTTTAGTGCTACACTGTAGTTTATTCATTCATACAAGTTTCATGTTGTCAGCCAGCTACACGTACTCCATCATTCAACCACATAGAAAAGACATACAAAGTAATTGCACAGGTTGGTGCACGTCTGACGTGCATGCTCTTTCCCTTTTAACACTGAACTATGGGGAGATGTTTGGGTCATAAGGCAAAGGGGGATAAACAGGTTCTGACATGGTCAGAATCAATGATGGAATGTGGGTTTCATAAAGTTTGCAGCATGATTCTCTCGAACGGTTGAAATGTCCATTACACAAATATTTGATCCCTAAAGTTGCAACAAATGCAAAACTACAGTACAAGAACATTTTTCTGGAATGCATAATTATCATAAGGCATATTTGGCAGTTTTTATTTGTAGTGTCCTCCACTTTCAGACGGACGTCCCTTCCTTCAGCTCCACGTACTCCCCCTTTAAAGATAAACGGGGTAAAGGTTAGTGACAGGAGAGGTTCAAATGTTGCGGTTAGCGTATGCAGCGTCCCACCTTGAGCTCCAGGTGCTCCTGTAGTGTTCTCACAGTCTCTCTCTCTTTGGTCAGCTGTTCCTGGGTGGCCTTCAGAAGCTGCTGGAGCTTGGTGGCCGCTTGGCCCAGATCTTTGGAAAGCTGCTTCTCCTTCTCAAGGCATTCCTGCTCCAGCAGCAGATTCAGACAAAACGTGGGGAGGTTTTAAACGAGACTCCCAGCTTGCTTCTCCAGCACAATTTAGTGACTACATCATATGACTGGAAAAACCAAAATCTGCAATATTTGAATAGATTTTTACAAAATTGGGGGAAAAAAAATCTTGTTTTATTTTTGGTAACCATTAGATCTCTTAGTATTTAACTGAAATAGCAACAGTGTCTTGACCCTTTCTAAAGGATAAATATTTGTGATGATCAAAAATAAAAATGTTACTCCCTCATGTTTAAATTCTGACTGATTTATTCCAACTTGTTTCGAATGATTCATGCCCGCAGCAGGTCCCAACACACCTTAAGCTGAGCTACATCTTCGGTGTCAGATTGTGGCGACTCTGCAGAAACCTTTAGGAGATCCAGCTGGGCTTGAAGTTCTGATACAGTCTTCTGGGCCTGAAAAATAAAGTGCACTTGTAACGTCATTGTCAGAAAAAGTAAGAAGTGACACTAAAGTCTAACAATAAAGCCTCGATACCTGCTCAAACTCCTCTGAGAGCTGCTGCCTCCGAGTTGCCTCCTCCTGCAGCTTCTCTGTTCTCTGACTCAACTCGTTCTGGACCTGTAAACACACACACACACACACACACATGCGGTAATTGCAAGCACAAACATTCAGGCATTCAGGACTCAAGTTACAAGTGCATACACCCATACATACCAAAGCTGATCGACCTGCACAACAAGTTAGTTTTTTTCTCACGTTTTGGGTGGAAGTCAGACACCTACTTCCTACGCTGTTAATCACATTGCCAGATCCTCTTAAAATAAAGAGGTGAGCATGCAGATATGTTTTGGAAACGGCCATGAGGAATGTTAGGTTGACTCAGACGACGCAAACAGTGGTTAGCATAAAGAGCTACTGTCAGATGAGTACTGGACAAACTGGGAAAACAGCTTTAAAATAATTAGTCATGTTTTATTTTTAGTGACCAAGTCCTTCTGTTAGGACATGGATTTATTCAGAATGTGCTTTAGAGTCAAAAATGTGTTTTTGTTGTTATAACAGAATCTGAAGCGCTGTTCCAGTCGCCATCTGGTACTTTCTGACAGGAAGTAACGGGTGCCCCTGTGATCCTCGCACCCTGACCTGACTGGGTTCGGCCTCAGCCGGGCCGTTCTGCTCTCCCCGAGTCCGCTTCATCACCTCACCCAGCTGCTCTCTGACCTGAAACAGGAAGTTGTCGCTAGTCACGTGAAGGCCACCTGACAAACCTGCATTGCTTTGACGTCACATGAATGTAAAACAGGGATTTTCGCAAGGTGTTCCATTAATAGCACCCCATCCACCAAACTTCACTCTGGTATTTGAACTAATTAGAGCCTGAAGGACAGGATCAGAAGCATGGTCACAATTTTTTTTTTTTTTTAAAAACCCTCACCTTTTGAAGCTCCTCCTTGTGGGCCTGGACCTCCTTCTGGGCTAAGTCCAGCTGGCTCTGACGCTCCGACAGCTGCAGGTTCAGCTGAACACAGAGACGAACAGATGTTAGTTATGAATTATTGTAATTTAAACAAACAGGTCAGTGCTTTGAAATATGTGAAAATCCTTTGAATTTTTCCTTCTAAAATGTGAACATGAGTGAACATGTTTACCAGCTCCACCTCCTCCGAGGTCACCAGGTTGTCCGTCTGCTTCTCCAGCTGGGCCTCCAGAAGCATCATCTGCTCCTTCAGCTTCAGGGACCAGAGTAAAAACATGTTAACACCACGATGCAGAAAGAGTTCCCTTAACCCAGGGGTCGGCAACCTGTTCCCATCAAAGAGCCATTATTACCTGTTTCCCACAGTAAAGAAAACACTGGGAGCCACAGCAGCCGCGGCGTTGTGGGCGGGGCCTACCCTCAGACAGCAGAGAGCTGCTTTAACCAATCACAACAGGTGACAGCAGCCAGTACCGGTCGCTCGTGTACGTCAAAGTTCTCTTTCATAAGACGATAAAACGATTTATATAAAATGGATCCAGAAGCTGTAGCCCGTCTCTGCCTACAATATTTTGATATTTTTCACCCTGTTGGTGGTTTTACTGAGCAGGTGCCCCTTTTGTCATACGTTTCTTTTTAAAACATGTTTAGACTGTTCAGAATACAAATCCAGGCTCTGTCACGTTTGATTGTTGTAATTAAACTTTGTAGGTGGGGAAGGTCAGAAAAGGACCCGATCCATTTGTTTTTCCCTCATTTACAGCGACGGAGATAACGGTGCAGTGCGCCTGGCTCTGGTGTTAATCAAGTTTAATTATATCTCTTTCCAACAATTTTCACAAGAAAACAGAACAGTTAAAAGCAGGGCTTGAGTTGACCGGACAGTTCCCGTATTTGACCGTTTATTTTGATGGAGAAAGAATAGAAAGAATTACCCCGACGCAAGCAGACGAACTGACAATTTATTCGTTTTGCACATCGCAGATGTAGCTAAATCACTCAAGAAAAGATTTCCATCTGAACATCTGAGCTGGACACTGCTCAGCGCAGCTCGCTGTCAGCATGTACTACATAAGGTGCACAGCGAGCTCAAGATGTGGAGAGGGGCGTCGCAGAACCAGAGCGCATGAAGCGACTGTTTCTCAAACCCTGTCTCTCAGAGACACTTGTCACTTAGAAAATGTTCCCTGATTATGAAACTTTGGCTGAATAGTGCTTGTTCCTGTCTCCAATGTGGCGACACATCCATGAGCCGTCTGAGGAGAATCCCAGAATCTGACATCCTCTTCAGCTCAGAAAGCGCCTATGATTACGCACAAGCGTGACGCGTCAACCCGGTCTTACTGTTCAGGTTTACGCAGACAATCTTTACATAGAATTGGCATACAGATGTAAAATTAATGCAGTAAAATATAAAGCATTTTATTTAAATATCCATTCATTTTACAAGCACAGAGAGCCGCATCAGATGGATGGAAGAGCCGCATGCGGCTCCAGAGTCGAGGGTTGCCGACCCCTGCCTTAACCGGAGGAAACCCACCTGTGCCACACTTCGGGTGTCCGATTCCAGGTAGCTAACTTTCTGCAAGGCCTGGTCGGGAGACGGGAGACGATGGTTAGATTTTATAAAAAATAACACACACCAAACCAAACGATCCTCAGTTCCTGTGACTAAAACTTTAACTTGCCTCCTTTAACTGTTCTTCGGAGTTTGCCATCTTTGACTTCCATACCAGCTCCTCCTCCTCCACGCTCTTCTGCAGATGTTTCAGCATTCCTTCCTAAGGATGAAAGAAAAACAGAGGTGTCCTTGTGGTCAGGATCATCTCTAGAGTCCATCTCAACATGACTTCAGCTGCTTACAGTTTCAGCTAAAACAGTCCTGTACTGTTCACACTCGGCCTGCAGGGAGCCGTGGCTCTCCTCGGCTTCCTTCAGTTTCTCCAGCAACTCCTGAAACAAACCAAACACATTCAAACATGCGTTTCCCTCCCGTCTGGACCATTCATCAAACTTGTAAGAACTTAAAAAAAACAACGAAAGAAAGAAGCTGACCGACAGCTGCGTGCTTGACTGAGGCTGTTGACTCAGCTGGCCGAGGGACTCCTGAGCTTTCTGTGTAAACACTTGTAACCAGTTGGACTGAGTGAGGAAAACAAACAGATGCAGATCAATTGTTTTTGAACGGAATTACCAAAGATCATCAAAACAGGAGACGACTGAAAGCTTCCCTTACCTGCTGCGTCTCTACTGGGATCTGTGGGAACAGCAGCTGGAGAGTCTCTTTGGTTTGGGTCTGGAAAGCTGCCAGTTGTTTTGTCTCATTCTGTTTGAACCAAAAGGGACTTTGCGTGAAACACACATGAACAGAGTTTCATTAGCTGATTTAAGAAAAATGCAACTTGACAGCATGACTGGCCACTTTTTCCTTTGCCTCCTTCAGCTCCGTTTGTAGTGATGCAACAAGAGCATCCCTCTCAGCCAGACTGATAAAAAGCAAAGTGAACAGATATGAAGACACATGCACGACTCGTTTATCTCCTGTCCGTTTAAATAAAGCCTAACGAGCCAACAAAAGTCTATCACCTGTTTTGTAGTGCCAACTCTGCAGAGCTGTCCAACTGCTTAAACAGAAATAACATGTAAATATTCCATTAAAAACCATTTCTACTCCCTAAAAGTAAAAATGACAAATGAGTGCAGAATGTGCCCTCTTACTGATGTGTTTTTAAGTTGCACCATCTCCTCTTTGAGGTGTTTGAGTTCATGCTGAAGAGAGGCGACGAGGCTCGTGTCCTCGCTGCAGAAAACAGTTTAAACATTACTGAAACATTCAAAAAGACGAGTACGTTTCCCACAGAGATGATCAACAGCGCCTTACCTCTCGTGTCTCTGCTCCAGTTCCGTGATGGTGCTCTCCTGTTGGAACAAACATTCGGATCGTGATTTTATTTAACAGCAACTTTACTAAAATCGAAGCTCTCAACACTTACCGCAGCTTTATGCTTCGTCTGCAGCTGCATCAGCTCCTCTTGGAGTGAAACCACTTGGCCATCTTTGTCCTGAAGGCTGCAAAAAGTGAAAAGTGTCTCATTTAAATAAGTTTAGATCTGCTACTGCAAAAAGAACAATGAGGAAGTGTAAGTCAGACACTTGCCAGAGCTTCAGCTGCTCTACTTCTGCTGCGTTCACCTGCTGAATCAGGAAACATCACATGAGAGGTACCTCTGTGCTTAACTTTCTAATAGAGTTTAAAAATAAGAATAATGTTCTACCTGTTTGTTTTCCTGCTCCTGTTTGCTTTGATTGGCCTCCAGCAGCGAGTTGATGGAAGCTACTTTCTCTTCCAGGCGGGTTTTCTCGGCCCGCGTCTCCTCCAGCTGAGCCGTGAGGGCATCAACCCGAGCAGAACTCTCTCCGTTGTCAGCTTCCAGTCGCTCTACACGGGCTTGATATGCTGAAAAGACAATAAAAAACCATTTTCATCACACATTGTTCACCTTCACTCACTGCAAATTAAGTTCTGGCTTTGAGACCTGATCACCACGAAGACCCCGTTCCCCTTTTTCCTAACCTGAGAGTGAGCTGCTGTCCTGCTGGGTCTTCTCCAAAGTGGCCTGCAGGCTTTTGTTTCTACTCTGAGATGCTCTGAGCTCCTCGCTGACCTCCTCCAGTCGCTTCTGGAACGACTGCTCGCTTTCTGCCCGGCTGGTCTGGGAATTTTCATTTTAAAAAAGGGATGACAGCAAAGATTCACAGAGTTATTTCACTAAAATTTAAAAACATCAACTATTCAACCAATAAACTTACAAACGAGGCACTCGGAATAAATTTGGATACAATTTGCATAACCGAGAGGTTTACAACCACACTCAGCAGTTACTTTTGATTGAGGGGTTTAGCAGGAAGTGATCTGAAACAAGGTGGAATAAACCACTTCCCAGGACTCGAAGCACAAAAGCTTCAACTACTGCAACATTCTCTCACATTTTCAAAAACCTTAAATGTTGTGTAGGATTTAAGTTCATATTAATACAAAGTGAACTCTTAGAAGTGCTGACTAATTTCTCCAAATGACTAATAAATTACTTTCCGTAAACTGTGTTAGAAAAGGCATCAAGTTCTTCCTGTATTTCCAGTGCACAGACGCTCAGACACACTCCCACACTCCAGCTGCTGTGGAGACATTTTCCCTGCAGCTGCGTTCTTGTTTGACTTCATTACAGCCCAGTTCTGAACTGTGTTGTGATTATGTTTCCCACCACAAGAGAAGGTCCGGGAATAGGTGGGAAAGGTCTGCGTTTGGTAAATACTCCATAACTGAGTGACTGCTGAAGCAGGACACTAGTTTGGAAGCACTAAATGGGCCAGAATAAATGCGCTTCTGCGTGGAAACTTGACCCATCTCGTGTAATTTCTAATAAAGATGCGTCTCTCGTAGGCCAGGCCAACCTGTAGCTGCGAGAGCTGCTTCTCAGCAGCAGAGAGCTTGGCCTCCAGCCCTTTCTTGATGATCCCATCGGCGAGCAGACCTTCCGTCTTCTCTCCAAGCTCCTTGGTTAACTTTGCACATTCCTGTCGCAGCTTGGCCAGCTCCGCATTTTGCCTGAGAGCGGAGTAAGACAAGACTCACAAACAGTTCACTAAAAGTGCCAACAATGGTGATTTTATAGTTTTATGCTACGGTCAGTCACTACTGACGGGTTACAGGACTGTTTCACTCACTTGCTCTCAGCCTGACTTGTCGCTTGGTTCAAAGCATCACGAAGGATTGAGTTCTCCTGCTGCAGACGAGCGAGTTGGGCGTTGGGGCCTTTTTCCAGCTGCTCCTGCAGGCTCACGATCTGCATTTCAAGTTTTTACATTAAAAAACGATGTTTAACAACTTTTTTATTGTGCTGTTGGCGGTGTGAGATATTCAACAAGAATTTCAGCAGTAACATAACCCGTTTCTCCACTTATAGTAAATTCAGCAGCGTAAGCATGAAGTATGATGTCATTAAGGGGAGCACCTTTGCGTTGAGCCTCTGGGTCTGGGCTACATGGTCCTGGTAACTGGCCTGCATTCGGGCTTGCAGAGCAATCATTTCCTGTTCCCGCTTGCTCAGCTGAGAACTCAGTCTCGTCTCAACACTGGCAACCTTGGACTTCTCTGCAGACAGCTCCTGATGTACGAAAACTACAGTCAGATTCATTCACCGAGATGCTTCTGTAGCCAAAGAGCCACTTTACAAAGGAACATCATCAATAATACGGTCCAAGACAGAAGTTTAGAGGAGAATTGGTCTCTGGTGTCAGTGATCATTCAGAACCTGATTCAAGACAAGGATGTGGTTCTAACTAAAGGGAAAACTATTTTTGACCTTTAGTGTTCTTAAAAATAGGAAATGAGCAGTGTGGTTCTTGTATGCTCTCCTCTAGCGCCACCCTCAGGCCAAAAACAAAACGGGTTGAGAATGACCATTTAAAACCAAACATGTTCTTTATCACCAACTCATCCAAATGCTACCAGCGTCTCTGCAGACAGATGACATTTAACCTTGGTCAGTTCTCGGAGGCGGTTCTTCACCGCTGAAGCATCCTCTTGGTCCGCTGCCAGCTGTTTCTCCTTCTCTTCCAGCTGTTTCTTCAGCATGGCTACTGGGTCTCCTTTCTGAGTGGCCTAAAATCAGACAGAAATGTTTCTGCATGTCTACAACTGATGCTGTTCCTGTTCAGGTCGCTCTCCATCACCGATGTCATACCGTGTGCCAGGCATCCTGAATGATGCCGACTTTCTCAGACAGGATTTCGATTAGCCTGTGAGCCTCTCCCTCACTGAACATCATGCTGGTGATGGTGGAAACCAGAGCCTTATAGGGCAGGTAGAGTGGCGCGTCGGCAGAGTCCACCACAACCGCTGCAGAAGCAAACGTAAAAATCAAAAAGTAAAGAAGCTTTAATAATTAAAACAAACGTCGGGATGCTTCAGATAATCATATAGCGCTGATCACACTCATGTTTTAGGAAAAGGACCACGTTAAGATCTGCCCTTTGTGGCCGGGGCACTGGGCACTTTCAGATGGTGAAACGCTGAAGCGTTGTGGCACCAGGCAGAGACGAGCCTCCGTTAACGGAGAAAGCCAACCCCTCCCTTCCTTCCTTCATTGTCAGAGGAACTGAAAAGCTTTGTGGGCTAACCAAACAGGCCAACAGTGTTTGGACAGGCTGGTGTGCTCCGTCCTCCAGAGCTGGGTGCCAGACGTTACCCACCACTGGCCTTGGTACTAAGGCTGCACAGCTGGAAGATCATCAGGACTGACGGGTTGTTTCTGCTTTACTTTGAGACCACATATTTATGCATAGTCGCCAGTGTTGAAGGAGAGAGACAAGTTCAGCAATGACAGCTCTATTAGAAATATTTATCAATAAGAAAAGAAAAACAAATTTTACGAGTTTATTTAAATTGATTTGGGATATACATTCTAGAAAAATGGTTCATTTCTTAACATATCAGCTTACCAGGCTCCATCTTCTTTTTTGAAGCCTTCTTCCTGGGCTCCTGTGGTTTGGCTGCAGCAGCAGCAGGAGCCTGCTGGGATCCCACAGGAGGAACGGCCATCACTGGGACATCTTTAGTGACAGTCTCCAGTACTGGGGAAGCTTTGGATGGAGCTGGAGCAGACTTGGTTGGTGCGGCAGCAGACTTGCTTGACATTGCAGATTTAGTTGTGGCAGAGGCGGGCTTGACTGATGCAGGGGCAGAGGAAGCAGTGGGTTTAGCTTGGGCGGGGGTAGACTTTGCCGATGAGGGGGTGGGAACAGGAGCAGGAGCAGGTTTGGCCAAATTAGAGGTGGGTTTAGCTGATGTTGGTGCCGGCTTTGCTGGGGTCGGAGCAGAAGATGAGGTGGTTGCTTTGGTCGGGGCAGACACAGGAGCTTGTGTTGTGGGAGGAGCCGGAGGGGACTTCACTGATGCAGGAGGAGACACCACTGGAGCTGGCTGGGTGGAGGCTGGCTCGACCTTTGCCACCTTCTTTTTCTTCTTGTCTTTAGGCGAGGGCACAGGTGGGGGTTCTGGGACAGAGACAGGTTCAGCTGCAGCTTTGGGCTGCGTCTCTGCAGCCACTGGAGCTGGCTTAGCCTCCACAGCAGGGGCAGGTTCGGGAGCTGGAGCAGCAGATTCAGCTGCAGCAGCGGTAGGCTCAATGAGCGGCTCAGATTCAGAGTCAGCTCCTTCAGCCTTCTCCTGTTCCAGGATTCTTCCATTGGGTTTTTCTTCTTTCTTCTTCCCACGACTCTTCTTCTCCGAAACTTTATCCTTTTTCTTTTTCTCTGTGCGGACAGGTTGCATCTTACCCAACTCCTTTCGCTGTTTAGCCAGGGCCTCCTCATAAGAGGTCTCCTTCATGGAGAAGGTGGAGACAAGGACGATCCCAACAGCAGAGATCACCATGAACCCACCAAATACCACAATCCCAAGGGTCTGGGGGTCGTAGATGTCCATTTCAGTAAATCTAAGATGACACAAACACATTTCAGCAGACAACTAAAGACAGGACGTTTCTACAAGATGAAGTTTGTGGAAGTTTGTACAAAACTTTTAAATAAAATTTTCTTCAGTCGTTTATCAAACTTAACCTGCAGATTAAAAAGTAATTCCTACTACTGCTTTAAAACTTACTTTTAATTTTTAAACAGCCTCAAGGTGTCGCCATTATTCCTACATTTTAACCAAAGACAGTCCACGTTTTCAAGTGAAGCTTGTCAGCCACATATGGAACTAACACCTAAAACTCCTAATTATCATACAAGTGTTTATTTTCTACTGACATAAATAAATTACCCTGATCACCCTTCACACTCTACCTGACGGAGACGTGCAGCACTGAGCTTTGTGAGCTAAAGCACTAAAACTAAGCTCAGGTATGTTACAAAAGGGTGCAACTTTAGGTTTTTTTTTACAATGAAAACATAGGATTAAATAACTAAGGTTGCAATGTGGAACTTGATGTTCTTGATGGTGGGTTTTAATGAAATACTGTGACAAATACAAGATTTAACAACCTTTCTCAGGTTGAGGCAACAAAAGAAACCCTAACAATGCAAAATAAAAGAGATGAAGGGGGCAAGAAAAAGCTAAAATGTACAAATGTTTGCAGGTAGTTGGGTAATTTCCTGCTTTGTAAAAAAAAACTGAAGAGGTTTTTAACAATCACAAATCAAACCATAGCCTGGGGGTAAATGTTAACTAAGAGACACTAAAACCTTTATCTTAGTTTATTCCAGCAAAAACGCTGGTTTTACAACTATTTATAGTACAAATCAGGAATGCCACTGTAACGAAGACATTTAAAACGCTCAACGTGGAGACAACTTTCTGTAAAAATAAAACAGACATAGAGGAAGGGCTTCTTCAGCGTGTTAGAGCAAATATAGTGCAGTGCCCCTGCAGGATTTATATGCAAAATGATCTGCCTCCTGATCTGTGGCGTCACGTCAATGCATCTCTGACCAGACTGAGGACTACTTCAAGAAAATTAACTCAAAAGGATCTTCTGGCTTCACGTGAAACTAAACTTTGTGTGTTTACAAGATAGGTGCACTCCAAACTCAAATATTAGGCTTTTATAAAACAATGTAGACATATGAATTCCTCATGTGGAGGTATTGGTAATTAAAATGGTCTTCAGCTGGTATTCAGCTCAGTTCCAAACATTATGTGCGCAGTTTTTCCACATAAATCACACTTTTTGCACTTACCACCACCACAGAAGGTGTTTTCATAAACTTTAACACAGTTTAACACGAAATGGATCGGATGAAGTACCGATGCCAAAGATTTAAAGGGCTTTCGGGTTAATAAAATGCAACAAACAAATAATATGAGCATCAAAAACATTTGAAAATTACCAAATCTTTTCTTTGCAACTAGCTTTAAAGCTAACAATATGAATCAATTAATTGTTGCTCATGTCCAACATTTTTAAGCGTTTGCGCAATGGAACCACGCTACAGAAACCTTTAATAAAACGGTAAGTTATTAAATAACGAAGGGAGAAACCCCAAAAAGTGTTTCTAAACATCTTTAAGCTAGTCTTACTGTTATTTCAAGGGTTAGCAGTTGATAGCTTTCCAAGCTAGCTAACGGCACAGTCAATGAATAAAATATTCCAAGAATCCCAGACTTACTGCGCTACGTCTGCTCGCTTCAAAAGGAAATGACTGAGGACAAAAAGATTGGAGTTAGAAATGGGAGACCTCTGTACAAAGCTACCTTTATATCCAACTAAGTAGCTAACTTGATTTTTTTCACTTGTCTCCCCCTCACTCCGCTGGATCCCCTGCTCCGCTGTGAAGTCGTGGCACTTCGAGCTGGCTAGACGCGCTGGCCCCGTGCCCCTTTGAGCTACCATAAAATCAGGGCGTTTGTGATTGGCTGGAATCAGCTCAAACAGGAAATGAATGTCCTGGGAGTTGTAGTCTTTCAAGAAGTTTTGCTTCTTGGTTAAACAAAAGTGATTTGTTCTAAGCAAAAATGACTTAATAGTTTAAGAAAACGTGAGGCTATCTTCTTGAGTTTTGATTACGTTAAAAGAAATATCACATTTACTAGTGATTGAATAGGTTTTGTCTTCAAAACTATACACTTGGTTTACCATTTTGTAGTCTGGGCTTCAAAATAGCCACACAGTCATGACTCACATGTAGTAAAAGGCCAATTTCATCTTTAAATTGTAGTAAAAAATGAGATACCTTTGATTTAAAAAATGTAATACCACTTTTCTTGCATTTTCCCACTTTTCACATTTACATTTTACATTGGATTAAACTTTATAAACAAAATAGCACTTTTTTGTACTATTATTCACACTGTAAAGTAAAAAAGCGCGCACTCTTTTAATACTTTTGCACACAATAAAACAACGTTTTTTAAAAAAAGGTCAACAGGTCATTCTCTGGAGAGAAACAGAAGCAGTGGGTCAAAAAACCAACTACATCCCATGACTCAATGGGACATAAATCTATATTTACAGACAATGATTTAAAAGATGATTTTGTGCACTTTCTTTGTGAAATCTTTTACAAACATTTGTTTGTGCTAACGGTGTTTTAGAGATCATACTGCAACATTTATTTTCAGTTCATTTCAACTTTATAAAGCACTTTCACACTTTTTATTTTCATTGAAACACAAATAAATGTGTAACATCCAGGATTTAACCAATAAGACAATCCAATAACGGCTGAATTGACACAGAAGAACATTGCCTATAGGCACACCTGACAATGGTCTGCATAAAAATGAAAAAAAAAATAGCTTTGTGTTTTTGGAAAAAGGGGAGGGAGACGTGGGCAAAAAAGAGTTGGCCAAGAATTGATCCCTGTGGTACCCCTTAACAAATGTCCACGCTTGAAGACAGAAAACCACCCAAACCTACCGAGAAGTTTCTTCTACAAAGGTATGACCTAACCCATCAGAAGCAGCTTTCTTTAATCCCACCCATTTCTCATCACGCTTGGTCAAAATGTCATTGTCCACAAAGTCAAAGCTGCTGTCAAGTCTTAAAGAGGCACTGCATCTCCTTTATCATTGGCTAACAGGATATAATTTAAGATCATCAAACATTCAAATCACGTAGGGACCCACACACTCCTCTTATTTAGCCAAATATTGTGTAGCTTTGTTAGTGAGCGTGTTCCAGGACCCAGTTGCAGTCAAAAAGTTGCACAGATTTGACCACATTTGACCATAGAAGGTTTCAGTGTTTAGATGTTGCCTAAACCACTGCAAGATACCCAGTTTCTGTGGTTGCAAAACAAGCCCTAATTGTGATCTTTCCCATGATAGTTGGTGTAAATAGTTGATTCTGATGTGAAATGTTTAGTTTTAGCTAATATGTTTTTATCATATGGCCTTTTCCCCAAATATCTTGTTTGTTCAGATGCAACTTTACCCAAAAAATTCACCAAAACTGTGGATGTGGAAATCTCAACCATGCAGGACTTATTTTTGAAGAAATAAAATTCAGCATAAGCTAACTTTTGCATTTTTTACATAAATTAAAATGCACATTTTGTGGCCTGCAAAGAGTTTTTACTTGTAGATTTTGTCCCTCATCATGAAATGTTTGGACACCGCTGCATTAACTAGAGAGTGCATCCTAGTCCCTTTGTCTGCATGGTGCAGCTTGGTGGGGCGGTTGGTGGCACTGTTGCCTTTCAACAAGAAGGTCAAAGGTTCATAACCCAGCTGTGGCCTTTCTGCATGGAGTTTGCATAATGTCCCCATGTGAAGGGTTGTCTCTGGGTAATCCAGTTTCCTACTAGCCTGGCAAACCATCCTATATATATATATATATTAGTATTGCCAAATTGAACAAAAGGCAAAAAAAAAAAAAAAAAAAACAAGCAAAACTCTATTGTTTTCTTGTGGACGGTGATGTAAAACTTTAAAAGTCATTAAATTATGTTTTTAATTTTTACTTTATGAAAATCATGGTTTTGCTGAATGTCTTTATAGAGTTTTTTTATAATATATATTATAGCATATATATGTTTTCTTTTTATAAGTGCTTATGCATAATTTACATGGATAGTTTGGTTGTACAGCAAAAAGAGAAACAAGTGACTGTTAGGACAGGATGCCTGACCTCACAGATTTCACTGATTCTCACACATTTGCCCCTTGAGCTTTATAAATTTTTGCAGTCATGTCAAATGAAAGAAGATAAAACATTTTCTTTATAATATGTTTACCTCTTTTTAGTTCTTTGTGGTCTGACATTAATGGCTAGAGTTTGTTTTCACTTAAACTATAAAAGAAAAAGGTAACAGAAAAAGACTAAATTTTGCCTCAAAAGGCTGGAGCACTCATCGACAAAAAATGTAATAGGTGCAAGCACAAAAACAAAAGTTTTGACACTGCTGGTGTCTTTGTCAGAGACAGGACTCTGACGAAGACACCAGCGGGTGTCGAAACATTAGTCTTTGTTTTTGTGCTTGCACCTACAACATTTTTTGTCACTTTGAGTGCTCCAGCCTTCTTTTTGCTTTTGTGTCATTGTTCTTTGCTGTGGAGCACCAACTGTTGATTGGATTGTGTGCAGAGGATCTTTGAAGTGACTACATTTAGCCTCTTTGTGCAACTTTTTAGGCAACACATCCAGTTTAAGTTCACATGATGACTCAGTTACGTCCGCAAGCCCTGCAGGTGTATTGCAGAGGCCCCTGAGGTGGCTTTCATGCATCATGTTAAAGCCATGCTTCAGAGCTTCTGCCTGCACTTATTGTAACTTTTGAGTGGACCTGTGCAGAACAGTGGGACAAGAGTCAGGTGCTCTCACGGGCTCTGCCAGCGTTGGCTGACAAGGCAGCTCACTTAACCGTGAAGCAAACCAAAGTGGTAACATAAGGAGAGTTTTTATTCAATGACTCGAGTGAAACTGCTCTGCATTTATACATCTTTTTTGTTGGTGATACAGTCAAGTTATGAATTTTCTAACCTTGTATCCACAACTTCACCTTTTAAGGCAGATTTCAGATGAGACCAAAACAGAACTCTTTTGGTATAAACCAAGCCCCCACAACGGAGCTCTAAAATTTGTCATACCCGGAAGTACCATAAATTGCAGTTCCACCCTCATCCGCTGGGGGCTGGTGTCAGAAGCGAGCAAATCCTCATTGACTCCCATGTTAAAAATACCACTTTCACAGCAGAAATAAACATGTTTACAGCCTGGTACCAAAACATGTTTTTTGTTTAAATGATCTAGTTTACACTCATGACAACTCTGAGGGGGGAGAATTTTTTTCTCACTCTTCTGTTTAAGTGTATTAAAAGCCTACAATTCTGTATAATTAATGAACATCAGACCCACGTGACCACAGAGCTAGCTCCGTGGAAAGGCCTCAGTAGAGCCTCGGTCTGGCTTGGAAACTGCTCCGGCATTTTGAGTCTCTGTGTTTGTGTATTCTTTTTTGGATATTATTTGTGCAATTGTTGGACAAAATTACTTGCTGTGGCATTAATTGCACTAATAGAGCGTCCAAGGAGTCTCCTCTTCATTTTTTTCGGTAAGTAAAATTATATTTATATATTTTAGGTCACTGCCGAGCTGAGCTTAGATTTTAACATGTACTGTTTAACCATGAAATTTAAATGTAACAGGGTAAAACCCAGTGCATTTAACATAATGCTGCACTTTAGAAAATGGGTTGAAATATAACATGTTGGTGAAGCTGGGTTCTGACTATCGGCTTGTGGAGCTCTCGGGAGACCGAGGTTTTCCACTCAGTTCTCCCCTGGCTTCACGGCTTCTGTTTGCTGCGCGGAATGCCGGCTGTTTCTCTCTGCAGCTCGGCGCATCTCTGTCTGATCGCAGCTTCTGTTTGATGCGCCGGGCTGACGGCTGGGTCTCCCGGCAGCTCGGCGCATCTCTGTCTGATCGCGGCTTCTGTTTGATGCGCGGGCTGCCGGCTTGTGGAGCTCTGGGATGGAAACCTTTCCACCCGGTTCTCCCCAGCGACACCTCTGCGCATCTCAGATCGCAGCGGCGCTTGTCTGCTGTGCGGCTGCCGGCTTGTGGAGGTCTCGGAGACCTCTGTGTTCCACCCAGTTTTACCTAGCGGTTAGCCCGGCGTATCTCTGACTCAGAAGCTCTGGTGTTGTGCACAGTTAACTCCAGTTGTAGCTAGGTTGCTACCTCCGTTAGCTTAGCTCCCACCTCCGCGTTAGCTTTGGGTTAGCCAGGGTTAGCATCATGGTTAGCTTGTAGCTAGTTCGACCGGGTGTCGTCAGTTGATCCCAGCCTTACAGCCCCACCCTCAGCTGCTCCTCTCTTCCCTTTTGTGGAATTGTCTGGGCTTGACGGAACCTGTGACACAGTCAAAATGGCGGTGGTGGCCACCTCCCATTTGGCCTCAAAAACGTGACATTGGAGCCTATGGAAAGGAGATGTCCAGTATATTTATGTCGATGGTATAAACGCCACTCGCCATGTTTGGAGGAGGAAGAATGCTGAGATGCATCCCAGGAACACCATACCCACTGTGAAGCATGGGAGTGGAAACATTATGCTTGGGGGGTGGTTCTGCAAAGGGGACAGGACCACAGATTTTTATTAAGGGAAGTTTAAATTTGGACATTTATTGTGAGATTTGGTGCAACAACCTCCCTGATGAAACAGGTCTAGAGGAGATCTACATGGAAGAATGAGCCAAAATTACCAGCTACAGTGTGTACAAACCCGATGAAGACCTACAGGAAAAGTTAGACCTCTGTCATTGCAAACCAAAGTTACATTACAAAATATTGGGTTGAATTTTTGTTTTTGTACCATTATAAAATAAATAATTTAGAAACCACACAATGTGATTTCCTGGATTTCTTTTTTTTTCGTTCTGTCTCACAGTCAAATTCCACCTTTGATTACAATTACAGACCTCTCTCATCTTTATAAGTTATACAACTGATGGCTTGTTGTCTCAATGTAGATCAGAAGACAATGTTGAATATTTTTTTTGAAAATTATGTATTTTTGAAGCATGCAAACCCTTTTGCTTAATCAGTTTGAATAACCAAAGAAAAAAATAAGACTTTAATTTAATCAAAATACCAAAAAAAAAAACATAAAATTATTATGAAAAGACCCAGTGAAGTAAAATAGCCTCCTTTGGGTTGTTTTTGTTAAAAAAGGAGCAGACAGCTCAGCGTGTACGTTACAAAGGCAGGCCTTGCTCTTTGGATCCACCACTGAAGTATTTCTTTAATGTTGCGCTTTAAAAACTGTTTGCTCAGACCACAGCTGGCAAAGTAATCTGTTTGCACAGATTGTTTGTCACAAGCTCATTGGTTGCAGTGTGTGGTTTTATCCAATCGGAGAATAGACCAGACCCTACAGGTCACTATGACTGCACAAGTGGGGTCATCACTATTGACAAATCTGTCACGGACACGTATCCTGCCTCGGTGCATGGCTGTTACAACTCAGCTAGTCAGACCTTTCATCTGGGGAATTTCTCAAGTGCACCTTCAACCATTGGTGTTTCACTTTTTGCTGTAAAAGAAGAAATAATTGGTACGGGTTCAGTAGATGCTCTTCTCAGAGATATTTATTCTGGAGGACTAAACTCTATGGATGTTCATATGCAGTGTGTGCAGTTTGGTGGTAATCCCCTTGAGATTCTTGGCATTTCCTCAAGTTTTACCTAATGCACCACCACGCTGTCACATTCCAGGATTCACAGTGGTCAATAGATTTAACACAAGCATGCACACAGCTGTGTCTGAATAGGCTACACGATTAAACTCCGTGGGAACTGAATTAAATGGCTTGATATCGCCCCCTGGTGGAATCTTGTTTGCAATAAAGAGCCAAATAAATGAACGAGTTGCAAAACAGAATACCAAACAATAAACTTGGGAAAGTAGAGTTTATTTAATGCTAGTATTACAAATGTAAAAAACAAACCAAACCAATGTCTTGTAGGAAAGTATGAAAAAAACAGAATTGTGATACTTTTAAGAAATATATTCCATTTATGACAAAACAAGTATAATGCACAACACTCCAATGAGCTTGGTCATGATTATAGTCATTTTTGAATATTCTGTTTGTTTCCAAAATAAACTACATTTCTTATAAAGATTGGGTAAATTCAGATTCAATGAAAGAGACCAACAAAATAGCACATATCAGAAAACAGCAGGGAACTGTGGAATAGGAAAAATAATTAAGATTAAAGGACTGATTAATTAAGAAGTGCAAGTGTTTTTGAACAAGCATTAGGATCAGTCGTTCATTTGTTTTTTGTTTACTGTAAATCTGCTTTGCATGTACAAAACATTCAGACTTGAGGATTGAGAGCACAGGAAGTCTTCCAGGTTTACTTATGCAAGTGCTTCATTAGTAAACAAGGCAACCAATAAAGTGTTCACAGGAACACAGAAAAACATTTTTTCCCCCAAAGTGATCTAAACAAAGGAGAATCCGAATGGAGGCTGAAATGTGATCAAAAAAGGCAAGAAAAAAAAATAAAAACAATAAGTGCATAGAAATGAAAGAAAATTTGACGAAGGTCACATCTATTGGTGCTACATATTAAAGGGAAGACCTTAATGTAGACAACCACATTCTCTGGAGACATTCAGCATTGAGCTGGACCGTTGATGGAGAATGATGGACCACCATGCAGAGGACAGGGACTCAGTGTCTTGTAAACATTCATGTTTACTTTCTATTTAGTGAGGTTTGAAAAGAGCATCAGCCCCAGGCGCTCAAGAGTCATGTCGATGTTCGGCCCCGAGGGTGCTAGGTTTCCATCTGCCATGTTTGGTCACTTAGTGATGGTGAGATTTTTAATACTTGAAAACAGGTCAGAAACCCTTGAGCTGTTCGATGCATCCTTGCAACATCGCCATATTGTTCTGGGAAGAGACAGAAGACATCTATGCTTACTTTCAATGGAACATATTATGCATAACTCAACTTTTGCATCCTTATGTACTGCCGTGTGGGGGTCTACTGCCTCTATAAACACTCCAAATGTGAAAAAGGTCCATCTGCTTTGTTAGGGTTTGGCTTTAGGAATTATGCATCTAAAACAAGCCATCAAAAAAAGTTTGTGACATCACAAACGGGGAATTTAGAACTGAACATGTGCAAGAGAGAGCTGCTTCTGGAGGCGCAACAGTGGCTGCTCTACTCAGGACAGAGCCCCTCTCTGGATATAGGAGCTTCTCATTCTATAGCAGCCAATCAGAGAAAGGGTGGGCGTGGCCAGCTCCAGCTTATTCTCTTAAAGGTGTGGAACTCTGAAAAACCATATTTTAATGATTTGTGATTACAACGTCACTGAGCTTTTCATGCTGGCAGAACATGAAAATAGTCTCCTACAACTATCTCCTGCATTAGCTTCCGATAGAAAATAGAACAGTGAAATTCTAGGATTAGAAAAGCCTGACAGATCTACGTCACACAACATTCATGGACACATGACGAGGAAGACTGTTGTTGGTTTAGTGTCCAGAAATCACCAGACAACATTCCATGAAGTAAAAGCTAACGTTAGCATTAGAAGGCTTGAGATATCAACGTTGCAAGTCAGTAGTATAGTAGCGTTGCCATTATCCAATCAGGGCGAGATGTCCAATTATCAGGAAAAGAGATTCCAAATCCCGCTGTCGGCAGCAGCAAAGACTTTTCCGTGCTGATCCAAGAAACTGTGGGCTTTTTTTTGCCCCAAGTACGGCTTGCAAGGCATTCAATCCTACCACAGACCGCTACAAATAAATTGATTAAAGGAGCTTCCCAAACATTTAAAGTGACAAGAGTCCTGAAACAACTCATTTTGGAAGGGACTGAAAATGCCCAGAATAAAACTGATGAAATTATTTTTTGTGAGAGGGATTAAATTCCATAAACATATTTTGTATAGGGCCCGACTGATATTGGCTGGCCGATATAGGAGTCATTAACAGTATCGGCTATCGGCCAAAAAGACATCCGATACGGCCGATATTGCGCTACCTATCCAGCAGATGGCGCCAGCTTTATGAACTCATGTATGGCCCCACTCCTTTGAACTTTGAACACAAATTATTGTTTTGGAATTTTTTTTTTAATTTATTCTTAATTATGTTTCTTATGTGCAGTTATTTCCTGTCCAGGGTGAATAAGTTCACCAAGTTAACTTCCTCAGAGTGTTACTTTGTTACAAAGCACAAGTATTACGTTTTATTTATTGCTGCATTTTTATTATTTTAACATTCTTATAGGGATCTTCTGTCCCTAAACTTGTGTGTGTTGTTAGATTCCCCAGAGTTAGCAAAGTCAGAAAAAACATTTTGTAACCAGATGTTTTAGCATAAAGCAATGGAAGGGAAGACTTGCATTCACCTACATAAAAAAACACTACAACGTGTGTGAATTCACTTACATTGTTTTATGCTAAACTAAGAAAACCAACTGCTGCCAGATCATATTGGGCTGGTTATAAAATGTATTTTCTGACTTGTCTAACTCTGGGGAATCTTAACAAGACCCAGTTTTACTGAGCGGTGGAATATTCCTTTAATTTAAAATGTATTTGTGGAAACCACCGTTTACAAGAAAACACTTGAATGTTAGATTTATGCTGTGACTGAGTTTGTGTGTTCTGTTGTTTTTGAGATCTGCTAAATAAATCTCATTTGCATTACTTTGAAACCCTAGTGAGTTATGGAGACAGTTCTTTGGTGTGTAATAGAGAAATATGTTTGCATCAAAAAGGCAGAGAATGAAGGGTTTAAGCTTAAGAAAAGTTTTTATTTCTTTTTTTTTTGTGAGGGAGATTTATCAGCCATTATATCGGCTATCGGCCTTTGTTAAAAGTTTTATATCGGTCCCAAAAAAACACATCAGTCGGGCCCTAATTTTGTATCAACCATAGACCTATTATAACTTTTAAAAAGTCATAATATGTCCTCTTTAAGATTATTGTGTTTCAAATCTAGACAGTGTGTTTGATAGGGTGTGCAGTCAGGCTCACTTTGGCATGTTTTATCTCAAGCTCTGCCATTTCTACCAGGTTCTTCTTGAAGGCCATGACTCGTCTGCCCTTGAAACTGGTCAGTTCTATGAGAATGTTGCAGAAGAAAAAAAAAAGAAAAGAAAAGTGAATAAACCAAAAAGAAATAAGGAAGGACTAAATCTGTTAAACGCAAATCCACAAACCTTTCTTTGCAGATTCTGAGAGCCTGTCAAATTTCTGCAGGCACTGCTGCTGGTGCTCCTCTGCCTGGGGAATGTCTCTGCTCTTCAGTCGAGCTTTATCCAAGGCCTTGTTTGAGTTTTCATAGTTGGCTAACGCGCGGGCTCGTCGGTACAGAAGGTCCTAAGAGAGGGGCATGACTGGTTTTTACAAAATCAATAAAATAAGAGCAAAAGCAGCTCGGCACCGAAACAAAGCTTTAAAAATGTTCGTATTTGGGGGGGAAAAATAGCATTAATGTGAAGGTACAGTAAATAGGACACATGTAATTTCAGTCAGTTGAAGAATTATGAAATTAATACTGAGCTGTCGTCTCTCATGCATGAGAATAAACATGCCTCACCTTAGCAGCCTGGATGTCCCTCATGTAGTATCTAAGCAGCTCTGTGAGTTTCAGCTCCTGGTCCGACGCTACTCTTCCCTCCACTTTCTGTAGAAACATTAAAAAGTCAAAAGCGAAGCTTCCGATCGGTCACACTAACAACCTTTGGATATACCGACTCTGAGCTTTTCGAAAAGGTCTGACAACTTCTCCAAACTCCTGAGGAGGAAAGAAAAGAAAACCTTTAAACCTAAATGTTCATAAACTTGATTATAAAACACAACCCCCTTATTTCTACCCCAACACCTACACATCAAACTCACTTCTTATTTGCTGTACTGTCTTCAGCACAGATGGCGTTTAAAGTGGCAGAAATGTGAATGTAATCATCTGCAATATCTGCAACAGAAATTCAAATTTTTGATTTTTCAATTCACAAACTGATCCTAAATTAGCATTTTTACTCAGAAATCCTCTCCTACTTTTGTGTGAACGGGTCATTTTCTCTGCTTTGGCAGTGGAATCTTTGATCTTGCTGAAGTAGTCCAGCAAAAATGTTTTCTCCTGCTCAAAAAAGTCATCAACTTCCTAGTGAGAAAACCAAAAACACGCATATGAGGAAGTGGTGGCTTTATTACATTTGCAGTGTCGTTGTGCATACTGGAAGCAGAAATGTTAAACAGACGCCCCACCTTTATTCCCGAGATGAGAACCTCGTCTGCTGACTTCACCATGTTCTTAAAGAACCCACCAAACATTTCCTTGGCATTCTTTCTTCTCACGCTGAGCTAAAGGTGCAGAGTTTGAGAAAAAAAACAGAGTTGCAAGAATGTAGATTTAGATTTCAGACTGCCGCCTGCATGCAGCACATAAAGCAGTAAAGTAGCGATTAGCAAACGCCAGCGCCACTGACTGACAAAGGCTGCACAGATAAGCACAACTGCTGATCACAGCAGGATGTAAGCTATGTGTCACAAGCCTTCTACTACTCTTCTTCCTCTCTGTCCGACTGACTGCTCAGGAAGGGAAGTCAGCATTATTAGACACTCACATCCTGGTCATACTCTAAGAAAATCTGGAAGTTCCTGTCTTTGCTTAGAACGGGATGAGAGGACAATCTCTGCAAGAAGACTTCATGCACTTGAACGGTTTTCTTGAACACAGCCAGGTATTCGCTAAAAAAGCAAAATAAAAGAAAAAAAGGAAGCAGCATTTAGTCATAACATGTCACACAAGAGTAATGCAATACAATTTGATGTGTTTTGATTAAGAAACGCACGCCTCCAGCTCCTGCTTCATTTTAGCGTACTCCTCCTTCGTCATAGAGGCCTCTCCTTCACCCAGCTTGTGCATCTTCTCTCTTGGGCTCTCAAAATCAGGCTTAGGGGGAGCTGGAGGGATCTAGAAATGTGGAAGAAAGGTGTGAATATACAGAGGTTATGGTCAGAACGTGTCAAAACAATATCAAAAATAAACTGATGACATTGGTGAGATTGTGCATAATGCCAGTCGTGAATCCCATTGGTTTTACTCACAATTAAACCAGCGTACTCCTCAGTTTCAACCAGAGTGTCATGAAGCCAGATGAAGTCTTCGTGCTGCCTGGGAACAGAGAAATCCGGCTTCTGGAAGGAGCTGAGAGTAGTCTGAGGAGACAAAGTTTAGGATTTGAAACCTTGAAGGAACTTGAGATATGTTGTAACTTAAGGACCAATCATGTTTTTATTTTTACCTTTGTGTGGACAGTAAACTTAACCATGTCCCTTTCACAGAGTGCATCGGGAATGTCAATGACAAGGGAGGCGTCGTTGTTCAAGTCCACAGACACAGAGCGCAACTAAGGGAACAAAAGAACAGAGCTCAATCCAAAACAGTTGCCACACGTGACAAAGATGCAAATGCTTTCTGTTTATCACCTGGATTTTAAAGCAGCTTTCAAGAACTTTCAAAAAGTTCAGGATCTCGTCAGCATTCTGATTTTTACATCTAAAATCAAAAGTTACTTTGCTTTTTAATGGTTTGATTCTATATTCAAAAATTTCAACGCTGTGCTGCCACTTCCTGGCACTAACATGACACTTTGGGCACATCTAATAACTGAATCATTGTTCACACAGCAGATAATACAATATGGATTACAATAAAGGATCGTTTAAACCCATTGCTTTATTTGGGCTGCAATAAATATACTGAATGAGATTGCACCTAAACCACAGAACTGAACATGTTTTCTTGAAGACTATTCAACAAGGAAAACAAGAGAAGTCCTGTTGTTTCTAGCTAAACCTTTAAGATTATCATGCCCTGGACGACTTAAAATCTACACAAACCACATTTATGGTACTTAAGAGTCTATATTACCCCTACATAACAATATAAGCAAATGTTTCAGCAATAAAACCTCGCGATCAGTTCTTAAATTCTGGCATTTTTTTCCAAGCCATAAATTTCAAGAATTTTTCTAAGGGGATACTTAACTTGAGGTCTTAATTTATCAATCCCTAAACCATCTCCCCTCTCTTCCATTCAACTTTTATCAAAAAACATACAAATAAATCAAATTAATGACTCAAATATCCCCGTTATTTAATAAAATACTCTAAGGAATGATGAGAGGTAAAAAAGAAAAAAAAATGTACAGCACTGCAGAGCTGCTAGGGTTCATCTACAAATTTAGAAGCAGGTATTATTGTTAGATTAAAAATCCTGGAAGCTGCAAAATCCAAGGCCCACACCCTTTTTGGGTCTGTTAGAACAAACGCAGGTGAAATTAGGACATGCGCGCGTGTGTGTGTGTGTGTGTGATCCCTACTGGATCATCACATCCAAGTTTTCTTCTTGGGTTTCGGTTAAAATAACCATTATTGAGTATTGAGTAATCAATACATCAAGAAAACTTTAAAGGTGGTGGTTTCTCTCCATGCACTTCATTTACAGGAAACGGAACACCATAAATAAACTCTGTGTACGTCTCACATCAATTATGGTAAAATTATTTATCTTAAGCTGTTCCCGAAGAAGTGAACATAAACTGTAGTTTAAAAAGAGTACGAAGGTAAAAAGTGTGCGACTTTTCTGTTTTTAACGCAAAAACTATTGGATGTAAAATAATTTGCTTTAAACGTGTCGTTGTCGAACACTGCCAATGCGTAAAAATGCACGGAGTTAAATATTTTATGTCGCAGACATGTTGTCTTGCACTCCGCTAACTGACAACGCTATAATGTATCGGTGTAGCTTTAGCCTCAGGCTAACAGACAAGAACCAATAACTTTACCGAAAAGCAACTGTTTTGTTAGCTATCTATGTTCTACGAGCTGATTTTAGGCTAAGTTTACTTGGCAAGAGGTGGTTATATCTTACCTTTTCCTTACTGTTGTCGTCAAGAGATGTCATGATGGGATTTAAATTCTCAAAATGGCAAAAGGGGAGGCCAAACTAAATAAAAATATGCAGGAAGCAGTTTTTGATTGCTGGCTAGCTACCTACCAAACTGTCAAACTGTTTCCCACCCCCATCCAGATGATAAAAATTTGAACCCACCCTCCAACGATCTGATTGCTTAAAAACTGATTTGACGAACGCCCTGATTGGGTGATCACATAATCATTCATATCACATCCCTGCGTCACTTCTTCATGAAAATGTTTGGATTTCAAAACTAAAGACGAATAAAGCATAAGGGAGGAAAAAGCAAAATAAAAGTGACGACAACAAACAGGCATAATTGGATTTGTAAATAGAACAAGGGTATATTTCAATTGAATTACGGTAATTTTGGGTAATGTAGTTTTCACCTTAACAAATGCAGTTACAAAACCAAAGCTGAAACTTCATTTCCCGTCTACGTAAGTTGTGCAACCAATAAAGTGCGCCGTCTAGAAACTCTTCATTGTTTTGCCTGATTTTTGCGGGAACATGTTCGGGCAAGTACCTACTTCAAATAAACCAATTTTGGGGGTTAAAAACACCGGAAACTACCAGAAAATGATGTCCTTTGGTAGATAATAGTTTAGTCCCATGAGCCTGTTTTGCTAAAGTCGCCAGAATGTTCATTTTTAGCCGTGTTTTGTTGGTCGGGGGCATTATTGTCCCTCAAAGCACCTCCCTCACGGTGTGTCACATTTCTGCTTTCCATTATCTAACATCGCCCAGAAGAAACAATCCATACAGCGCTGTAGATCGCGAGCGTTACACTTCTCTTGTGAAATCCGTCATGTCCTTTAAGGTCAGCTACCAAACCCCTGAAACTCTACAAGCAGAAGATGACCAAGTTTATGGACCAGTTGTGAAAGCCCCGATGCCTTCAAGAGCCGCCAGGACACCTAAAATTATCCATCCTTTCCTAAACTCCGAACGGTCTCCAGAAACAGAGGAGGACTCGGAATCTGGACTCCCAGTACGGATCGCGTTAAATCGAGGCGGGTCTTTCGCGCCGAGTGTGACACGGATTCTCCAGCAGACACTTTCTCCAGAGCAGATCTTCTACTTGGAGCGATGGAAGAGGAGGATGATCGCTGAGCATGGAGAGGAAGGATTCAAAGAATACAGCCAGAGTAAGACTTCTAACAATAAGATAAGTCAAATGTATTAATTCTGGTGAAATTTAAAGTGATACATTTGATCTAAACAGCTATATTTAGACAAGGAAATCTTTTCCACTCTGCTCTGGAGAAAATTCTGGAAAACAGAAGTCTCTCAGAGACACCAGATTCTGCACCGGAAGTTCAGGGATACCTGAGGAGCATCTCGCACATTCTAGAGGATGTCCGTGCTGTGAGGGCCATTGAAAGCACCGTTCAGCATGCTACACTCAACTACTTGGGAATTGTGGACTGTGTTGCTCGCTACAGGTGAAACTGGGACCTTTTCTCATCCTACAATCAGGTTTCTCTCTTGCCACTTACAGTCAGCCTTTCTCTACAGGGGTGTTCTGTGTGTTATTGACTGGAAAACCTCAGAAAAACCCAAACCCTTTCTGAGCAACACCTATGACAACCCAGTTCAAGTAGCAGCATATGCTGGGGCTTTGAACAATGATGGAAACTACAACTACCAGGTGAGCGATCATATTTATAGATGACTGTCTACAAAATTCTCTGGGATTGGTTTATCTTCTCAGTGTTGTAGTGGTAGTGTGCCCACCCTGGGACTGGTAGATCAAGGTTCAAATCCCAGTTGAGTCATACCAAAGAAACTCTGCTTTAAGGGATTGGATTGGGGGGGGTTAAACCACCATGTAGTTCCTGAACACAGCCACTGTTGCAGCTCACCGCTCTGCACTGGGATGGGTGACATGTGGAGATGTAATTTCACCAGTGTGCGATGATGACTAACTTTATCTACAACATGATGCCACAGGAATGGTCACACCCTGTTATCTTCTTATTGCAGGTTGAAAATGGGCTCATTGTTGTGGCCTATAAGGATGGCACACCAGCTCATGCTCACCGGATCAATTCAGACATGATGTCGGAGTATTGGAAAGCGTGGCTGTTGCGTTTCGAGGATTATAATGAACAAAGGTAAAACAGACTGAGGCCGATTTGCCTAAAAATGAATTAATCAGTTCAATTTCCACTTTTATTGTGATAAACACAAATGTTTTACATAGAAAATCAGTTTTATTATGAGCAAGTCACCCCCTACAAAAAAACTTACTTCACTCCCACTTCATGTTTGAAAAATGCAACAAATGCTGTTGCCTGGCAGACCGAGAGGGCGGAGCTGCTAACAAATACACACACACAGGCTCACAATGGCATTGTGACATCATAATGTACCAGCTAACATCATAGCATACCTCTTAGCCAATAGCAGTGGCAGATTTAAATTCAAATACAGTGCAGAATTTTCCCCTGACGATTTGCGCAACACTGAAAGTTTTAGGTAGAACATTTGAATTTTAACCAAGATGCACTGAAGTGCCAAATTATTGAATACACGTGTCTGCAGCACAATTAGAGACTCGTTTATATAGTTTATCAGCAAAAAAAATTGATTTGGGGGTGACTTGCTCTTTAACTTTCTTTCACATGAACTATTTGACTGCATAAATTAGCTTGATTCAGTTAGAAAAAAAACTTTTTACTTAAAGAACAGATTCACTCAGTTTTTAAATTCATTTGCAGTGGCCTGTAGTATAAACTGATGCCTTGTTAGTTAATCTTTATGGGAGAAGAAAAGCTCTTGCGCTCCTGTTTCAGGAACTAGAGGTGAGCAGAACACGGCTTATTTCCTGACATTCTGACATCTCACCTCAGCAACACGACTCCATTTGCTCTGCAACATTGATGTTTTATCTCCACAAATAACACACGCCTGGGGAAATTCCGCTGTGTGGTGGAGTTGCTATTGCTAACGGTTAGCTTCTACTAGCAAAGATGTGCTCTGCTGTCTCCTGGCTGCTAAATGAACAACAGCTTTCCCTGACGGGTGGGTTCAAGAATGCTAATGTTCAGTGTGACATAGATCTGACTGGCTTTTCTATTCTGAGTTGTTTCAGCATCTATTTTCTATCGACGGCTAATGCAGGACATAAGGGTGGAAGACTATTTTCATGTTTAGCCTGCATGTGAAACTCAGAATTACTAATCATATTTCAAAAATAAGTATAAAAAAAACCCAACAAAAAGTTTCTCTGTGAACTTTAAAACCGATGATTGACAAATGACACTGATATCTGAAAAGATTTATATGGGTATTATGGTATTGCTGATGTCTTAAAACGTCTCCAAAATGTTACTGTAGGATTATTAAGTAATTCTTCTGGGAGCTAACCCCAGGATACTACTCAAGTGTCATAAAAATAGACAAATTATCCCTTTAAGTTTCTATTTAACATGTAAACCATAAGTTAATCACTCACACTAAGGAATCCATATATATTTGTTTCATTTCAGATCAAGTTCTTCAGAAAAAAGATGAGATGTGTAGGAGAATCTGCACTGGCGGAGTCATCTTTTCCTTTTCTTCACCAAAACATCATATTTTCTATTAGAATTCTATTTGCAAGTTGAAATTTCAAATTTTCCAATCACGAGTGAAACGTGATTGGATTCAAACCAGGTTTCTCTGTGTGAGGGATCTCCAGTGAAGCTCATGGTTTTGAATGAGACCATATTCTCCGCCTCTATGAAACTGAACACCTGGTAGCCCGGAGTTTCTTGGCCATGCTGCTGATCAGGACTTTAGCGTAGCCTTTCCCTCTGTGGTCCGGCAGAGTGTACAACATTCCCATGTTGGGAGCATGCACAGATCAGGATCCAGGAGACTGGCTTCCCTTCAGCATCCAGCACGCAGCAGGAGGGGAAGTGTGCAATCAGATCATCCCAGCAGCACCCTGGTTGTTTCCAAACTTCCACGCTGCATTGAACAAATCCAGGTGGGAGTCGTTCAGGGAGTCCAGCGAGAGCCCTGAGCTGATTCAGAGCAGAAAACATTTAAATGAGCTCTTTTACCGTCACAATTTGACAAAACCTGACATTATTGTTCTTTTATAATATAATTACATAATACTTGTCTGTGGAGGGGAGCTTGGACATGTCCCTAGTTGTATCATCATGTGACATACAGCCAGTTTGTAGCAGGCTACACTTTTCTGATGCAGCTTCTTTTAATCTCAATGCGAGAAAACAAATTCATTTAACAATTAATCAAGGTTAATAATTATGAAATAAAATAAACGTCTGAGCTTTTAAAAATAAACAAATCCCAAAACGCACATCACTCCACTACCAGATGCTTTTATAAAAGTTACAACAACCCACCAAAAACAACTTGGAAATGTTTATTTTCCCGCAGAGGCAATATACATGCATTTATCAGTTTTAGCTATAAAAAAAGAACCTTTAGAGTAAGGTTAAAGCTTAGATCTGTCTTGAAGGTTTGACCAAATCTCTCTCTGTCAATAAACATATACGGAATATTTTTTTAAAGCAAATAAAGCTGAAAATTGTCCTACTGATCAAATGTAGAGTGGTGTGCAAGATGATGAAAAAGTAAAAAAAATAAAAGGTGAATGTGTGTGAGTAGAGGTTATGTGGATACAGATTTAAAACACTGGGTGCTTGTTTTATTCAAGCATCAATGATTTGTGTCAAACTCCAATAATCCAGCTTTAATTGTGACTGGTAGGTTAAATTTGCTGCAAATACAGGCTTCATTTTAATATGTAATTAATAAAATTGATTGAATGATTTAAAAAAATCAGTTTCATTTTAATCACCAGATCCGAAGTTGAATTCAATCCATGCAGCTCTGTAGGAAGAGTCTTCAAGAAAGCCCATGTTTGTAAAAAGTTTGTAGGACATCGTGTTGTTGTCTTCTATGAAACAGTAAACAGGAAATCCCTCCGCGTGGAGTTTCTTGGCCATGGTGCTGATCAGCACTTTGGCGTAGCCTTTTCCTCTGTGCTCCGGTAGAGTGTACAACATCCCCAAGGCACAGTAATCATACACCAGAATCCAGGCCACTGGATCACCCTGGATGTCCCTAATGCAGAAGGTTGGGAAGTTGCTGATTAGGTTTTGGATGTTCCTGTAACCCTGAGCATTCCCTCCAAACTTCCAAGTTTTATTCACCAAGTCAACATGGGAGAGGTCAAGAGATGAAATCCTCGATTCAAGCTCACTGTAAAATATACGCCAAAAAACATGTTTCTGATGCAAAAAAAAAAAAAAAGATTTTAATATTTTCATTTAAGTATACCTGTCAACATCTGGAGAGAGGAGAAAGCTGATGTCTGGCAAATAAAGAAGATGTACCAACGTGTAGTGTCTGTGGTTCACTTTATTTTCAGTTGAAACTTCTTTGAAAAGAGGTTCGTGGGTAATATCCAACCCTGTCAGACACAAAGTGATCTAAATAGACAGTGCTGTAAAAACGTATTCCCAATTGTCTCACAAGAATATCTATTTAAAAGTGGTCTTGAGCTAGCTTAGAAATCTAGACAAACCATAGAACTAGCAAAGTTGTAGCCTCAGCAGGTCTGTCACTGGCTCGGCTAAGTTTAGGCCAGCCAATCACAGCGATCTATGCCTGTAGAGCGACCACAGGTGCAACAGCAAAACAACAAAGATGGTGGCGGCTCATGAATGGCGCTCTTTTGAAATGGCTTTGGCATCACTTTTGGATAATTTAGACTTGGATTTTTCTTTGAGACATGAGCAGATAGAAGTTCTACTTTGATCTACTTTGAAAAGTACAATAAAATGGATTATCCCGTTTTTTTTCTTCTTTTTTTAATTTAATTAGGACCTATGTCTACTTGACCCTTTCTATCATCAGGATGACACAATTTTGACTACTCAATTTTATATATTTTTTATTTGCAATTTTTTTTAAATTTATTTATATATTTCTTTTTTATTTATATAATTTTTTTTATTCTGTAAAACTCCAAACATACCTCCAACCAGGAAATAAGTGCTCCAGTCAATTGGATTTTCTTCTCTTAGGACTCTCCTCAAAACGACCTCATCCGTACAGAAGACGGTCACCTTTTTCATGAATTCTTGGGAGTGTTTATTCTGCAGTTTATAATGGAAATCTGTGTTAAAACTATATTATTAACCTTGCAAAATAATCCACAAACCTGATAAAATCATAAAATTTCCATTTTTCTACCGACATTTGAACACACCTTGGGATCTGGTCTGGAAAGAATGACTCTAAAATCAGGCCACGTATCAACGACAATCTCTTGTGTGGTTGGCTTGCCTCTGTTTATACCGAAGAGGAAACCGTAGACCTAAAGACATGTAGAGTTTGTATCAGTTTAAGTCATTATTACTTATTAAAAAGATGAAGAAGTATCAAACTACAGTAAATGGTCTACCTTGAAACTCTTCGGTAAATGTTTTAGCAAAACGTGTTCCGCGACGTGCAGCTCGTCTTTGTTTAGGACCTTCATGTTCAGCAGACATAATTAGATGTTCATGTTTCCGTTTAAGAGCAAAGTATCATGTCTTTTATTACAGTTCCTTTCTGAGCCGTTAAATCAGCACCGGAAACAGCAACTTTCTGTCACGGATTGTCAAAATAAAATAACTTCCGTTAAGTAACTGATTATAAAATAAAATGTAAACTTAAAAAAATATTTTACCACAACTTACTTGGCATTAAAATTCACCAGTGCAATATTAAAGTTCTTTAAACCATCTTTTTTATATCAAGTAAACAAATTGATTTGACAAAAATGGCATTATGTATGAACAAACAAGTCTGGAGTAAAGAAAAAAAAAGAAAAGGGTTGTAAAGAACTTTATTTTAAAGCTTCACGAGATATTTGACAATCAGTAATTTAATTAGCTTTATTTAGTGTTAAAACATAAAAGCATAACAAAAAGTAGCTAGTGGAGAATTATGCAACATACAAAAATAAAGTATGTTAACACTTTTGTAATTGATCTGAAGGTAAATCCATGAACAATTCGTAGTTCTCATTCTAGCATTTGTACTCCGCCAGTTGGTAATTGTTGAGGTCTGACTGCTTCACAGAAAATTTGCACTGGTATGACTGGCGGAAAAAAGTGAATAACAGAGTTAATGGCAATGGGAATAAATATTCAGTTATGCAGATACAATTTAGTTGTTTTCGTTCCCAAGAAATTTTAAACATCTTTATGTTATTTAGTTTTAAAGTAGCAACTATCTTTTTCTGAGCTATCTGTCGTTTAGTGAAATCCTTACGTGAACCAATGCAGGTTCTGTTTGAACTTCTTTGTTTGAACTGTCCTTTTTTTGCAAGTGGACCTCGCCATGTTCACAGTCAAACGTTACTTTAATCCAGTGGTTCTTAACCTGGGTTCGATCGAACCCTAGGGGTTCGGTGGAGCCTCTGCCGCAGAGGTCCACCCCTCAGTCTAGTCTGCAGTTAGTGGGCACAGTCATTGAATGCGTCCTGCTCGGAGATTTCCTACCGGTCCGCTTTGAGGTCGCTGGTTTATGCAGCAGAGTGCGACCTCTGTATATGGGCTGTATATGTGTCTGAGTGAGACTCCCTACAGGTCCGCTTTGAGAGCGCTGGATAAGCAGCAGAGTGAGACCTCCTTCTCAGTCGGGACCAGCGGTGTGCGTCAGTGACGTTGGGTTAGCGTGACGCCGACTCCACGTCCACCTCCAACCGCCAAAACGTGTGACTGTCGGTTTGTCGTGTGATTTCTTACGGAATATTTTAATCCATGCTAACTATGTCGGGCAAAAAAAGAAAGTGGTCGGACGAATATGTAAAACATGGATTTACATGAACATCTTAGGTGTGTTCTTGCTGTGTCTTTGTAAATCCATGCTTTCGTTCTTTTTTAAACACAGAAACAGTTTTGTTTACCTGTTTGTAGCTACAGTTTCGCCGACAGCTGCCGGCTTCTTCAGGCTGACGCTCAGCCTGAAGAAGCCGGCAGCTGTCGGCGAAACTGTAGCTACAAACAGGTAAACAAAACTGTTTCTGTGTTTAAAAAAGAACGAAAGCATGGATTTACATGTATCACGGAACGTGACGGGAGTCAGCGTCCCATCTGCATGATTTGCAATGCCAAGTTGAGCAACTCTAGTCTCGCACCTGCAAAACTGAAGGAACACTTCTTGAAGCTGCATGGAGATGGGGAATACAAGAACACAACGCTTGCTGAATTCAAGGTGAAGAGAGCCAGATTCGACGAAAAGGCCACTCTGCCTGCTCTTGGATTCGTACCCATCAACAAACCGATCCTCACAGCATCGTACGAAGTTGCTTATCTGATCGCAAAGCAGGGCAAACCGCACACCATTGGCGAAACACTCGTAAAACCAGCTGCGTTAAAGATGGCGAATCTGATACTCGGAACAGCGGCTGAAGGTAAATTATCCCAAATTCCTCTTTCAAATGACACCATCAGCGACAGAATAGAGTGCATGAGTAAAGACATCTTGGCTCAAGTAGTCGCGGATCTGATTTCAAGCCCGGCAAAATTCAGCCTTCAACTCGACGAGACCACCGACGTTTCCAATCTAAGCCAGCTTGCCGTTTTTGTGCGCTATGTGAAAGACGACATGATAAAAGAAGAGTTTTTATTTTGTAAGCCTCTTACAACAACAACTAAGGCAGCTGATGTGAAGAAGCTTGTGGATGACTTCTTCAGAGACAACAACCTTTCATGGGATATGGTTTCTGCAGTTTGTACGGACGGAGCTCCAGTGATGCTGGGAAGAAAGTCTGGTTTTGTGCGCTAGTAAAAGCCGACGCACCGCACATCATTGTTACACATTGCATTCTGCACAGGCATGCGTTGGCAACAAAAACCTTGCCGCCCAAAATGGCAGAAGTATTAAAAATTGTAGTGGAATGTGTGAACTATGTGCGCAATAGTGCTCTGAGGCACCGCATCTTCAGTGAGCTGTGTAAAGAAATGGGCTCTGAATTCGAGGTACTTCTTTACCATTCGAATGTTCGGTGGTTATCCCGGGGACAGGTGCTGAATCGTGTTTTTGCCATGCGTGTGGAATTAGCCCAGTTTTTGCAAGAGCACCAACATTGTCATGCAGATTGCTTCAAAGATTCTGAGTTCATTCTCATTTTAGCATACATGGCTGATATATTCGCAGCTCTCAATCATCTAAATCAGCAGATGCAGGGTGGTGGAGTTAACATAATGGAAGCAGAAGAAAACCTGAAGGCTTTTCAAAAAAAGTTACCGTTATGGAAACGACGAGCAGAGAACAACAACTTCGCAAACTTCCCCCTTCTGGACGACTGTGTAAGTAAGATCGAAGATGTGTGTGGACTTGGAGACATATCTGTACCCATGGAACTGAAGCAAACAATTGCCACGCACTTAGATGAGCTTGCAAAGCCTCTCGATGGATACTTCCCAACAAGAGCATCATATCCAGCATGGGTGAGACAGCCGTTCACGTTTGCTATTGAGACAGCAGATGTCAATGATGAATACCTCGACGAAATCATTGAACTTCAGCAGAGCCAGGTTCAACAGCAACTCTTCGGAACAACAATGCTCTCAACGTTTTGGTGTCAACAAATGGAAAATTATCCAGTTATTGCTAAGAAGGCCCTGGATTTTTTTGTACCATTTGTTACAACATATCTTTGTGAGCAATCTTTTTCGAGGATGCTGGACATAAAAACTAAGAAAAGGAACAGACTTTGCTGTGAAAATGACATGAGACTGGCACTTTCCAAGGTGAAGCCACGCATATCTGAACTGGTCTCTCAAAGGCAACAGCAGAAGTCACACTGAGGTAAGTTGTTTTGAGTTCATGCACTGTGTTGGTTTTGTTATTTGAACAAGGTGATATTAATGCACAATTCATTTCGTAAACCAGTAAAAAAAAATCATATTTTATTTTTTACTAAAGAAGGGTTCGGTGAATGAGCATATGAAACTGGTGGGGTTCGGTGCCTCCAACAAGGTTAAGAACCACTGCTTTAATCCTTCAGTCTTGGCCTTTAAGAAATCAGAAATTCAGACAGTCAAATTTAATAAATGTTTGAGAAATGTAAATTACATTTCTTAACCCATATTATATTTCAGTGATTATTCTTCGATTTCAACCTATTAAACAGAAAAAGATTCTAAACCAAACTGACCTCATATTGAACCCTGACCATTTCTGTAGCCTGGTGGAGGTAAGTGTCGTTGGTGCCGTTGTATTGGACTACGATGAGGTTCAATAAATCTTGGAATTCTTGAGTGTTTGTTTCATATATATAAAAAGTTTGATTTTCCTCAGAGCTCTCATTTACTGAAGAGGCAGCTTCTTAGCTTCAGTCGGCCATTTTGGCCAAACAAGAAACACATCAACATGATGTGTCACCCATGTCTTGGAGAGACATGGTGGAGGTTCTCCCTGTCATTAATCTGCCTTATTAAGAGTGTGTCTATAACCTGGCTCTTTTGTTGGATCTTAGACCACTAAATAGCTAATTTATGAATTATCTTTTTGCAGCACACTATGAGGCATTGCTGTTCTGTCTCTGTTCTGGTTGGATTTTGTTGATTGTCCTGCTCCACCCTTCCCTTTTCTGTGCTGCCAACTCACAATTGAGTGTGTCCCGGTAGTTAATGTCCTGAAGAGCCACGGCGGTCTCCAACCTGTGAGCGGTCTCCAACCTGTGGACAGTCTACCAGTTCCCTTGCTACATGGTTGTTGGTGTTCACCCTCCATTCACTCCAAACCATCCTGGTCTGTTTAGACTCTGGCTCCAGCGCTGAATCACGTTTGGGGGCTGCTGTCAATGGGTGCGCTAGGACACTTCAGCGGTAGAAAGGTCTCTGGGTGGTGTGTGTGTGTGTGTGTGTGTGTGTTGCTCAAAGGTACCTTCACTCCTGAATGCATGATCACACCTGTTTAGGGGTGCCTTTGATTTAGTTTCTATTTCGTTATTGGGGTTCTGCACCCCAGCGACTGACTGGGCTCTACTCGTAAGCCTTAGTCTGGGTATTTTTAGTCTAAGTTTTGTAGTCCGTTTTAATAATCTTAATTGGTTTTAGTAAATACTTTATACCTTTACTGAGGTCTTGTTCTTTGCAAATTCTGACAGGAAGAGGTCTGGCAGACCCAAAGCCACAACTGCATCAGAGGACAAGTTTCTGAGAGTTAACAGCTGGCTCACACGACAATAGCTCCAAGCACAGTTTAATAGTGGTCGTAGTAAGCAAGTCTCAGTTTCAACTGTGAAGAGAAGACTTCGAGCTGCAGGTTTGACAGGATGAGTTGCAGCAAAAAAGTCACTGCAAAGACGCCAGAATAAGAGAGACCTGCCTGGGCCATGAAACACTGCCATTGGACTACTGAAGACTGGAAGAAGGTATTATGGAGTGATTAATCCAAATTTGCAATCTTCAGTTTATCACACAGGATCTTTGTATGCTGTTGAGTAGGTGAAAGGATGGTTCCACAGTGTGGCATCAACTGTCAAACATGGAGGAGGAAGTGTGATGGTCTGGGGCTGTTTTGCTGGATCCAGGGTTGGTGACTTGTACAGAGTGAGAGGCCCCATGAACCAAAACGGCTACCACAGCATTCTCCAGCGCCATGCAGTACCCTCTGGTATGCGCCTAATTGGTCAGGGCTTCATCCTACAGCAAGATAATGACCCAAATCATAAGTCCAAGCTATGCCAGAACTACCTCAGGAAAAAGAGCAAGATGGTTAGCTTGTAAACATGGAGTGGCAGCACAGCCTCCAGACTTAAACCCCATCGAGCTGGTTTGGGATGAACTGGACAGAAGAGTGAAAGCAAATCAACCTACAAGTGTCACACATTTATAGGAACTTCAGCAACAGATATGGGAAGAACTCTCTGAAGAATATTTGATTTCTATTGTAAAAACAATGCCACGAGTGTGTTCAGCTGTTATATCTGCCAAAAATGGCTACTTTGATGAGTCAAAAGTTTAGAATACATTTACTATAAATTGATTCCATGATTTCTTTTTTGACCCCAATCGCTTATTTGAACTATGCTTTCATTTCAAAATGCATTGTGATATTAAACTGCATAATTTCCAATCAAAACCTGGAAAAATTGGGGTGTTCTAAAATGTTTAACCGGTAATGTATAGAATTTTTAACAAACATATTTGAAATACAAAATTGGGAAAATGGAAAAACTGAAACTAAAGATGAGAAGGAAGACAAACATGAATAAGAAATGATGTAAAAAAGATAAGAATATCAAAGAATGAAATTGTTCAAAATAAACACATGCCTGTTGATCACCCAGAGCTGTAAAAGTGATTCACAAGGTGAAAGCTTGTGGCCCCCTATGTGTATGTGTGTGTTTAAATAAATTGATGTTCCCCAGGGAGACCGTGATGGAAAGTAATTGAGAAACTTTTGTTTCAGCAGACATTAATAAATATTCATTGTTCTGATTAAGAGCAAAGTATCATGTCTTTTACATTTCCTTTCTGACCCGCTCAGCAAATATCAGCACCGGAAACGGCAACCTTCTGTCATGGATTGACAAATAAAAGAACTTTCGTTAAGTAACTGATTATTAAATAAAATGTCAACTTTTTTATTCTTTCACCACAAGAAACTTGGCATTTAAATTACACAGTACAACATTTATTTTAATAATCTATTTTTATATTTAAACTAATTGATTAATATTGGGCACAAACTGAAATATTATACAAGAACAAACAAAACTAAAGAACAGAAAAAAGTTTTAAAGAACTTTCTTTTAAAGCTTCATGATATATTTGAAAATCAGTCATTTAATTTGCTTTTTGTGTTAATAAAATAATAATAAAAGTAGCTAGAGTAGAATTATGCAACATACAAAAATAAAGTATGTTAACACTTGAAACTGATCTGAAGGTAAATCCACGAACAATTCGCAGTTCTCTTTCTAGCATTGGTACTCCTCCAACCGAGTATTGTTCTGGGTCACAACAGAAAATTTGCACTGGTATGACTGGAAAAAAAAGTAATGAATAAAAGTGTTAAGACCAATGTGAATACATATTCATTAATGCAGACACATTGCATACAATTGAACAGCAAAAAGTGCTTCTGTTATATATCCTCGCGCCGTTGGCGCAGTAATATGTTGGTTTTGTTGTATTTTTGTGTCCCCTTTTTTTCTCTTTTTCTGCAGGACACACACACACACACACACACACACACACACACACACACACACACACACACACACACACACACACACACACACACACACACACATCTTCCTTTCCTCTCCCCTTTAACAATATTTATTTATTTATTTTTATTTTTATTTTTTTACCGTGTCCTGTCTGGCTGTGAAGCAAACAGAATTGATGTCTGAATGCTGGTGACAAGCCTTACAGATTTACTCTCAGGTGGAGCATCAAAGCGTCTGCTTTTAATGTCACGCCTGATACTTAAAACTTTATTGTTATTGTTTTTGAATGCTTTGTTATTCCGACCAGACACGGAGACACAGGTGAAAGAGAAAGGAAGAGACAAAAGGTGGGAAGAGAGGGGGGGGGGGGGGGGGAGTGGGTGTTCCACAAAAATAAACAATAATGAACAAGAGTCTGCTTACATCAGGAGCAAGCTATCACCGCGTCAACCTGATGATGAAATATAAAATCAGCATTGTTTAACTGAACAATCACATGATAATAAATCATAGGGCATTTAGTGGCAACGACATCCTTAAGACAAGTGTTGAACGTGCCCAAGCCCATACTTTTGAGAGCATGTGAGCACCTGTGTGTGTACACACGCTTCAATCCTCTCCAATAGAGAGTGTGAGGGACCACAGATCTGCCCCCCAAAGATGTGTAGGAGACAGGGGGGAGCTCCAAGTCCCAGAGATCCAGGCGCTGCCCCAGAACACAGGAACCCCAAGGAGACTGCAACCAGAAAGGCCCACGCCCCACTCGAGAGGCGCAGAGGATCGCCCCGGGGGGCCACAACCAGCAGCCGGCAGAGTCCCGGGAGATATCAGCGGCAAGCCCACAGGCCCGCTCGCAGCCTCCCACGTTAATAAATCTGGTAAATATAACACACTCAACCTGGAGGTAAGTGGAGAAAATTTAGAAAATTTGCAAATATATATTGACGAGGTTTTTGAGATTTTTGTCATGGGACCGAAGAAAGCAGCAGCAGCTGAGACGGAAACACCTGGGACCAAGAGGAGCCGTCCTCAGGACTCGCCCGAGGCCTCATCTCCCCATAAGGATGTCTTAGATTTACTACAGTCCATAGATAAAGAGAGGGTGCTCGCTGCAGAACCACAAAGGCGGAGCTGCACCAGAGTCAGCCCCGCCCATTCACGCAAACTCAGCCTAGCCCACTGACTTGTTTTTGTTTTTTAACTTTATCGCAAACTAACCTGACCCACATGAATTACGGCTGTTACTAGTTTACAACTGTTAATGCTATGTTCTATGCTCCAATTAAGCAAGATAATTATAACTTGCGTCATTGGCACTCAGACATCCTTTCTGATTGCTTTACAGCCCGACGGGACACGGAAAAAAATAAATAAAAACTCACAAAAGATTATTTTTTCTTTATTCCATTCCACATTACTCTTCAACTTCTGGCCAACAAAAGATAATGTATACCACAGAAAACACTGCAAAGCAAAATATTAAAAGGCCATAAAGAAGTTGATTTTAAAGCATCTTGACCTTTATGATGATCATTATTCTAATGTGCTTTATTTTGGGTAAAAAAAAGTAGAATAATGAAAGGAGTCAAGTTAGAAAAATATTAGCCAGTGTACAATTATGTAACAGTAAATTTAGGTATGTTAGGTATGATGCATCCTCAGGACCTTCTATCGCTGTGCCATTGAGAGCATCCTCACTGGATGCATCTCCGCCTGGTATGGCAACAGCACCGCTTACAACCGCAAAGCTCTCCAGAGAGTAGTGCGGTGTGCAGAAAGGATTATTGGAGGTGAGCTTCCCTCCCTCCAGGACATCTATAAGAAGCGGTGCCTGAGGAAAGCGGGGAGGATCATCAAGGACTCAAGTCACCCCAGCCATAAACTGTTCAGACTACTTACATCACAAAGGAGGTTCTGCAGCATCCGGTCCAGAACCAGCAGACTGAGGGACAGCTTTTTCCATCAGGCCATCAGACTGCTGAACACTTCACAGACACCTCACCCTCACTACTGAAACTCCAAAATTACACTCCATACTGTACATTAATGCCACTATTTTGCACATACCAGCCTCTGTATATTTATATCTCTTATCTTATTGTTTACTTTATTCATTTGTATACTTAGATTAGCCATTTTTATATTTTACATGTTTTTACATTACTGTATTTTTGCACAACTCTGTTGCTGTGAAGCTCGCACACAAGAATTTCACTCGCATGTACAGTACCAGTGTACCTGCACATGTGACGTGACAATAAAAGTGATTTGATTTTGATTTAAAATTTCTGTAACTGATCTAAAACAACTTTTCACTGAAGACAAATGAACAATTCGAAGATCTCTCTTTAGCATTTGTGCTCCACCAGACGGGTGTCGTTGAGCCATGGGCGGCGCCACACAGAAAACTTGCACTGGTAAGACTGGGAAAAAAAGAAGTCAAGAAAATCATTAATATCATTCATTCAGGTAAAATTAGGTGTCTTTGTTGTTAAGATGTTTTGAAGAAAGTTGTGGTATCATTCAGTTTTAAAGTATTAAATAGACTTTTCTTAAGAATAATTTTATTTATTGTAAAATAAGTACATGAGCCAATGTAGGTTCTGTTTGAATAACACGCTCTTCATCCTTTGCACCGTCCTTATTTGCATCGTCCTTTTTGCAGGTAGACCTTGCCATGTTCACAGTCAGAATATAATTTGTTCCTTCAACCACCTTTAAGGAGAGAGAAATAGTCATCATCAACGAATAGTCAAAGAAAGAAGTCAAATGGAGTACATTCTAATGATTATTTGTTGATTTCAACCATTTAAAACAGAAAAATCTTCTAAACCAAACTGACCTGAGCTTGAACATGGACCACCTCTCTGACTTGGTGGAGGTAAATGTCGTTGGTACCGATGTTGTGTTGGATAGTGAAGAAGCTCAGCACTTCTTGGACATCTGTTTCATTGGCTTTTTTTTTTTTTAATCAAAAAGTCCCCCCGGCATGGCAAACCCAAATCCCTCCACAGTATGAAGGGCTGCAACATTGTCCTTCTGTAGGTTCAACACTCTGAAAATGTCTGGCAACTTCCCTTTATGTTTAGTCTCCTATAAAAGATCCATCCAGTAGATTTTGGGGAGCGATGCATCAAATCAGCAGCCTCCTCCACACAAACCTGCCTCTTAGGGTGGCTTTTGCTGCCCCTAGCCTGGCCCAAGTGCATTGATTTTTTTGAAAAAAGTCAATTTCACAGTGAAAACTAGAATTAATCTAAGGTACAAAGGTTACTTACAACTTAGCAAGCGCAGTCAAAGATCGTCAATCTTTTCATTCAAAGATTTCATGTCAGTGTTTTTTTTTGCTTGTTTGTCCAAGTTAAAAATACATTTTAGAACCTATTAAAAATTATATGAATAGTTTTATCTTGAGTAATACAGCTGTGATTAGGGTTCAGTGTTAGGCTCCCCCACCTAGACCAACTGTGTACAGAAAATTAAACATTTGTGACGTTCATTGTAAGTGAAGACCTATAATAACATGCAGGAGGCATTTTGTACAGTAAATTGCAAAACCATTTACCATTATTTATTTTTAACTATTACTTTTTCTGTGCAAAGAAGAGCAACAGCAGAATAAGCTAAATAGGATTTTAAGCAATTCTGAAGTGTTTTTGTGTGAAACTTGTAATTATTTGTGTAGATAGTTTCCTGGATGGCTTCAGCATTGCAGAAAATAAAGTTTATGTCCAATGTGACTGATCAGCTAACGGGTAGTCAGAAAGCCTAAAAAAGATTGCTGTCATCCTAAAGGAGTTCCAGTCTCCAAAATATTATAGCAGTTCATGCAAATTCCATTTTATTAACATTTTAAACCATGAGATTGGCTTTAAGCAGTGTGTAGGAGCCATTATTGTTTTTGGTTTAGATTAGATTATGATCTAAGTTTATTTTGATGTTTTATGTACATTTCAGTTTATTGCACTATGGTTTGTATTTCCTTTGACCACTGGTGGCACTGCGGAGCCTATAAAGGTGTTGAGGTGGCAGTGCATTGGCGTTTTGTGGGTGACGGGAGGTCACACGGTTTTTACCGCTTAATTTGGTTTCATATGCCACATCTAATTTGCCGTTATAACTTTCATCATTTACATAAACCTGGACAAGAAATAGCCATTCTGGACCCAGCTTGTGATCGTCAACATATTCAATAAATGGGACAATAAACCCAAACCCGCTTTCTGCCTGGACAATATTGTTGAAGCGAGTCATTGCCTCCACCCGCACCCGAGGGTGACTAAAAGTGGGACTTGATAGTCACTACAACAAGTAAAAACCTGGACCTGTCTAGAATTGGAGGAAGTCGCATCATCTGGAGCTCATCAGGAAAAGTTTGGCAGGTGCCACACCCGCAGCGCTGTTTACCTGGAGGTTGGATTGAGACGTCAGCATACATCGATCCTTTGTTGGGACTCCAAAGCAATCTAAAAGGTTTGAGGCACAAGCAAAACATTCAAGACATCTCCGGTGAGTGCAGTCATCCTTTTGGGTTAAAGACGCTGGAGTGGAGTTTTGATGCGCTGCGGCCTGACAAGAGCTGATTGCCTGCATAAGAACTGCTAAGGATATTGATGGCTTCCACTCATTAAACTGTTCATTCATGTGCTGATGTCTGGAAAACACAAACGTGACTGTGTCAATACTCGTGCTTTGTGGCAAATTAAAGCGCAGCAGTGCGTAAAATAGCGCGAGGAAGAGCGCCACAATCATCCGTGTTTGCTGAGTGGTGTTTTATGGATTAAATGGATCTGGATAATGATGAAACCAATTCTAGAGACAATGAAAATGAAAAAAGACAAAGGAAGTTTTCTGTTAAAGGTTTGGCTTTTGAGATCGAAAAACTGCAAAAGGAGAGGTCTTATCTATTTAAACAAGCCAATAAAATAAAGGCAAAAATAGAAGTCCTTTGTTCATCATCTGCCAATTTTATTGCCATCAAACAACATCTTAAAGGGTTCAGTGCATTATGTAAAAATGCATCTTCACTTCATGACACTTTATTAAAGGAGTTTTCTTTACCCGAAGATGAACAACAGAGACAAAATGCATGGTTTAAAGATAAAAGTGCTGCAAATGAAGCGTTCGTGAATGAAGTGTGCAGTTGGTTAAAAGAAAACGAAGTTTTGAATGAAAATGAAAATGCTGATGATGAGCCCGACGCGAAGGTTGGGGTGAAAGAATATGATGAACATTTTGACTGTGTTAAACCTGAAGATAGTGCATCAAATGTATCCAAACGGTCGCGCAAAAGCAGCCGTGCGTCTGGATCAAGCACTTCATCCGCTTGTAAATTGGTCATGGCAGAGAAAGCAGCATTGATTGAGAAAGCTGCTGCTCTGAAGAGGAGACACGAGCTGGAAGAGCAAGAGGAAAAACACAGACTGGAAGCGGAGAAATTAAGAAAGCAAAAGGAACAAATGGAGTTGGAAGCACAAATAGCTGCTGCATCAATAAAACTCTCTGTTTTGGAAGGAAGTGATGTGGGAAGACGATCCTGCTCAAATGGCATGAACTCTTATGTGAGCAAAGGACTCAGAGAACAAAAGCAAGCCGAGTTTAATCCTCAAGCAAAGGAATTTGTGCCAAAAGGCGCCGTCTTTCAGCTGAGCTCAACAGCGCCCCTAGTGTCTGAACCAGATGCTCGACCTAAAACTGTCACACTCAAGTCAAGTGCACCGACTCAATTCAAGCAACAAAAGTTAAAGATGTCCATTCAAAGTGAATCATTACAACCACAATCTCCCCCAAACAAGCAGCAGAACCCTGTGGAAATATTTTCACCTGTGGACAACAATGCAATTTGTGCTATTATGCAAAAGCAAAATGAAATCACAGCAATGCTTGTTCAGCACCAATTATCAGCTACGTTGCCCCAGCGAGAAATTCCAGTTTTTGATGGTAATCCACTACAATGTATTTCATTTTTTAAAGCCTTTGAACATTGTGTGGAGGGAAAAACCAGCAGCTATCAAGACTGTTTGTACTTTCTCGAACAATACACCAGGGGACAGCCAAGAGAGCTTGTGAGGAGCTGCATGCATATGCCATCACAGCAAGGTTACCAAAAGGCAAAAGGTCTTCTAATGGAGCACTTTGGCAATGAACATAAAATAGCAACAGCATATATGGACAAAGTCATTTGTTGGCCAGCAATTAAAACTGAAGAAATTCAAGCTTTGCAAGACTTTGCTTTGTTTTTAAGAGGATGCTGTAATGCTATGTCTGACATACATTATATGGAAGAACTTAATCTACCATCCTACATGAGGCAAGTGATCCTGAAATGGCCCTACAAGCTACGTGAAAAATGGAGAACTGCAGCCTGTGAACTACAGGAACGGCGAGGTTTCAGGGCAACATTTACTGACATGGTCACCTTCCTTGAGCATCAAGTAAAAATATTGTCTCATCCTTTATTTGGAGACATTTCTGAAACAAGACCAAGTCTTGCAGCAAAGGAAGTACCAAGAAACAAAGGCTCAATAAAGACCAACATCAAAGGAAGCACCTTTGTTACAGCTATAGCACCCAGTGACTGTGCTATATCTTCCCCATCTGTGCTACCAAAGCCACAAGTGCAGCCAGTAGCTACCAGAAGTCCAGCTCCAGAAGCCTGTCCATATTGTGATCAATCTCATTCCTTATTGAAATGTCCAAAGCTAACCAGGATTCCTCAAAAGGATAAAATTGAATTTCTGAAAGGAAAGGGAATATGCTTTGGATGTTTTAAGGTTGGCCACATGAGTAAGGAATGTAAAAATCGCCTCACTTGTGATAAATGCAACCGGAAGCATCCTACCATCCTACATTCTGACAAAGAACAAGCTAAAGCCCAAGAAACACCTGTCAGCAGTGCCCTCGTGTCTCATAAGGCTGATGTTTGTACTGATGGAGGAGAGGACTGTACTCTTTCAATTGTTCCCGTCAAAATAAAATCTAAGAAAGGAGATCAAGTGTTTCAAACTTATGCCTTCTTGGATCCTGGAAGCACAGCAACCTTCATTACCAACAAATTAAAGAAGAAACTAAACGTGCAAGGCCCAAAGATTAACATCTTGCTGCGTACTATGGGCCAAGAAAGGTTGGTGAGCAGCTGTTGTGCCACTGGACTGGAAATTTCGGGGCTACAAAGTAACAGCTTTGTAGAACTTCCTGAAGTTTACACACAAGAAGCCATTCCAGTCTCTCGGAACAACATTCCTCTTCAGAGAGATGTTGAAAAATGGGACTATCTCAGCACCATCAGGATTCCGGAACTGAATGCTGATGTCGAGCTTTTGATTGGAATGAATGCATCAAACCTCATGGAGCCATGGGAGATAATCAACAGTCAAGGCAACGGACCATATGCTGTCAGAACTCTACTTGGATGGGTCATTAATGGTCCCCTGCGAAGCAGTGTAACTACCCAGAAAGGCTGTACAACTGTTTACGCAAACAGGATTTCTGTTGCCAAACTGGAGGAGCTGTTGATATCTCAATACAATCAAGACTTTGATGAAAAAACACTGGAAGAAAAACATGAAATCTCAATCGAGGACAAGAAATTTATGGAAATAATGGAAAATTCAGCTTGTATGCTGGATGGACATTATTGTTTGGACTTGCCCTTCAAAAAGGATGACATTATCATGCCCAACAACCGGTGTGTTATGGCACAACGCCTTCAGACCCTCAAAAGAAAGTTTGAGAGGAACAAAGTCTACAAAAAGGAATATACAGCATTCATGATGGATCTTATCGACAAAGGCTATGCAGAAAAAGGTCCTCTTGACCAGATGGAACCCAAAGAAGGAAAAGTCTGGTATCTTCCACACCACAGTGTCTATCACCCAAGGAAAAAGACTTTGAGAGTGGTTGAGCCTGTCTCCCAGACAATGTCACAGCTATGGACTTCATGGCTTCAAGATCCGCCAAAAAGAAAAAAAAAAAAAAGGAAACTTGGAAGAATAATCAACACTTATCCTGACAAAAATGGACTTGTTAGAGCAGTTCAGCTGAAAACGAAGACCGGGCAGCTGGAGAGGCCCATCTCGAAGATCTGCCTTCTTCAAGCAGCTGTATAAGATGGAGAGAAGATACTGCATGGGACTACATGGGACATTTTTTGGCTCCTTATTTTGTTATTATTTAATTGTGCTGTTTACACAATTGGGGCCGGTGTGTAGGAGCCATTATTGTTTTGGTTTAGATTAGATTATGATCTAAGTTTATTTTGATAATGTTTTATGTACATTTCAGTTTATTGCACTATGGTTTGTATTTCCTTTGACCACTGGTGGCACTGCGGAGCCTATAAAGGTGTTGAGGTGGCAGTGCATTGGCGTTTTGTGGGTGACGGGAGGTCACACGGTTTTTACCGCTTCATTTGGTTTCATATGCCACATCTAATTTGCCGTTATAACTTTCATCATTTACATAAACCTGGACAAGAAATAGCCATTCTGGACCCAGCTTGTGATCGTCAACATATTCAATAAATGGGACAGTAAACCCAAACCCGCTTTCTGCCTGGACAATATTGTTGAAGCGAGTCAATGCCTCCACCCGCACCCGAGGGTGACTAAAAGTGGGACTTGATAGTCACTACACAGTGGTTTAATGGAAGTAATTTGTTCTTTACAAGTGTAAACATGACCAAAACCTGCAATGCACCTGGGGTCAAGTCAAGCAGGAGATTATTATTAATGATGAAATATCTATGTGATGTGAAGGTTTGTAAAATAGCATTCATATGCATCTAATAAAACTTTTGCAGTTGGAGCTGATTTACAGGCCCAGTGTGTTAGTGCCACGAGGTTCACAGTAGGTATTACATCGACGGTAGAACATGCATCAAAAACACTACGTGTCATCATTGACTTCCAGCTTTCATTCCAGCCATCCGATCTGTTCTTTCAATTTGCATTCTTCACTAAATTTGATCTATGTGTTGAGTAATAAAAACTGAGAGGTAGAGTTGTGTCGCATGCAGTTGGAGCAGGTCAAGCAACCAAAGAGGAAGGAGCAGAATTTCCCCAAACCACCAAGGCTGCTTCAGAGAGAACTGGTGCCATCCCTATATCTCATATGAGTCAGGATCTGCTCCTTCTTCCTACCTACCTGATTCCTGATTACCTTTGTTGGGGAAAAAGTGGATTCCGTTGTCATTACTGCTTAAAAGCATAACTGCCTCCTTTTCAAGTGAAAACACCTGTTGCTTCATTGAAATGCTAGTGTTATCTTTTTACTAGCTTTCCCGTTTCAACAGGGAGGAGAACAACCTCCCTCAGATCATGCTGTTCTATGTTATGGTTACACTCCCATGAGAAATATTATGTTGACTTATTGCACCTGGGTTTGTGTGGGTGAAGAGATGACAGTATTTTTATTCCTTACGTGAAACAGCTTACCACCTGGTCTTACGGAGCAGTTTGGGAATGTGGTGTGATATGCTTTGCGTGTGTGTGTGCTTGGTTAATAAATACTCTCGGAGGATGATGGTTCGATGAGAGGTCTGGTGAACCATGCTTGGGTGTGTATCCTTTCGTCTCTCCACTTTGCAAAGTAAAATTGGACAATAATATTGCTCTAATTCTCTTTGTGCGTTTGATTTCTCTTAAGGTAAACTGGTTTTAATAAATAAATAACCCAACAACCTTCATGTATTCAAACCCTCTGTTTGTGCTTGTCTTTGTCTTGTCTGCCTGCTCTATCATCCTACCTATCATTATTCATATTAAACAGTTCTTTTGCCTGCCAGTTTGCCTCCTGTTCCTGCTCACCTGCATTTAGGTCTGATTGCAACCAACTCCACATCATGGCAATGGGTGTTTGTCAGTGCCAAGGAACCTTGCCCACCAAGACATGGGGTGTTTCTCAACATCAAGGAACCTTGCCTTGATGTCTTGGCCCCGCCCTATGCCTAGGAGATACGTCATTGGGAGCCGCCAAAACATATTCCATTCGGTTCCAATGTTCATGTTCTACCGAGGCATGTGTTCTCCATTTGTTTGCCATTTAGCTAGCTGAGCAAGGATACACGGGAGGTGTAGCCTAGCCTTGGTAAAAAAAATTACCCACAATTCACAGCAGTATTTTCAAAAAGACGGTGGACCAGAAGCCGGCAGCTACTTCGGGGACAATTTTCAAGTTTAAAAGTAAGTCAGCTAATTTAAAATGTGTTTTGTAGATCTAAAGAAGTTATCTATTGTTTGTTAGTTGCTTAGTAGTTGAAGCTTCGGTGGCTAGCGGGTTGTAACTCGCTTATATTTTTAATGTAATAAACATATACACAATTTAAAAAGTAAAAGGCTCGTTATATATTTATATTGAAACTAATACATATAAAATATAACGTTATATCCCGTGTCACGTGCCATTATGCGACTGCTGTGGAAGCCGTGGTCACGTGATGCAAGTCTGTTCCATTTAACCGTTTTCTTTGACCAAGGAAGGACAGTGTCCTTGCAAGCAAGGCGCTGGCCTCGCAAGACATCGCCTCACAAGGCAAGGCGCCTTGACATTGAGAAACACCCATGTTCCAATGCTCATGTTCTACTGAGGTGTCTGTTCTCCGTTTGTTAGCTGTTTAGCTGAGCAACGATACACGGGAGGTGTCTTGTAGCCTAGCCTTGTCAATGATATCCCAGAATACAGCGCAGTATTTTCAAAAGGATAGTGGATCAGAAGCCAACTACTCCTTCGGGGGCAAATTTCAAGTTTAAATGTAAGTCAACTAATTGTAGCTATCAGGCTGATATCTGAAATGTTTTTTTATATCCAAAAGATTTATCTACGGTTGGTTAGATGTTTAGTAGTTGCAGCTTCGGTGGCTAGCTGGTTATGACTCACTTATATATTTAAGTCAACAAATATATACACAATTTAAAAAGTAAAAGGCACATTATATATTTATATTGAACCTTATACGTATAAATATATCTCCCGTGTCACGTGACTTTACGTGACCGTGGCTTTTGTGGCGGTCATGTGATGCAAGTCTGTTCCATTTAACTGTTTTCTTTGACCAATGGAGGACAGTTTTCTTGTAAGCAAGGCGCCTTGCGAGGCCAGGCAAATTGACATTGAGAAATACCCCGTATGTCCTTAAACAGCTACTGTATTTCAAGATGGAGCATTACTATGGGGGGTGAAACACAGTTTATTAAAAAAATAATATTTTAAGCTATTAGGAATGAATAATGGACATTGGTGAGAAATATTAATGAGAAAAGACTGGCGTGTGAATGGGATACATAGAATTCAATGTTAAACTAGTAAAAGTGTTAAACACTGGGGGTGTAAGATGGCTTCACCTTGCTGTTGAGTTGGAGACCTTATTGATGTCAAAAACAGCTCCATTACAACAGGTGAGATAGGGTTGATTTATAAATTTTACTTAGAAACACCCTTATGCCCATTGGCTCATGCATGGCTCCCTCAGGGAAACATATCCGGACATCAAAAGTTTTGTCAAGAGTGTGCTTTTAATTTCGACTGGCTGTGTGGGATTAGTAAGACAGTAAACACATTTGAAACATTCACATTTCAATAACTGATATAGCAAGTTCGTGAAAAGTTCAATTTTGTCCTATTCCTTTTTACTTACATGGCTTTTAAATTCTCCACTACAAAACCAATACAGTTGGTATTGATCTTTTTTCTTTAATCTATTCCACTTGACCTTTGGCCAACAAAAGGTAACGTATAATACAAGGACATGATGTGCTTCAGTGCTATAAAGGTTATAAAGAACTTCACTTTAAAGCTTCTCGAGCTTTGTGACAATCATCAAATGTGCTTTTATTTTGGGTTAAAAAGTTACAGAATTATCCTGAAAGCAGTCAAGTTTGAAAAACAGCCAGTGTACAATTATGCAACAAACATGGTTTAGGTATGTTAACATTTCTGTATCAGTGAACTTTACACTGAAGGCAAATCCAGGAAATATTCACAGTTCTATTTCTAGCATTTGTGCTCCAGCAGGCGGGTGTCGTTGAGCCATCGGCGGCTCCACACAGTAAACGTGCACTGGTAAGACTGGAAAAAAGAAGTAAAGAAATTAATTAACATCAATGGGGTTAAATATTCATTCAGATAAAATTAGGCGTTTTTGTTTAAAGAATTTTTTTTGTTAAATGTTGTGATATCATTAACTTTTAAAGGTATTAAAATGTCGCCCCCCCCCCAAAAAAAAAAAGAAGAAAGTTGTTGTTTAGTGTAATAATTACGTGAGCCAAGGCTGGTTCTGTTTGAATGACACATTCTTCTTTCTTTGCATCGTCCTTATTTACATCATCCTTTTTTGAACTGTCCTCTTCTGCATCGTCCTTTCTGCAGGTAGACCGTGCCATGTTCACAGTAAAATAATACTTCAATCCTGCAACCACCTTTAAGGAGACAGAAATACAGACTGTCATTATCAACAGATAGTCAAAGAAAAGTACATTCTAATGATTGTTGATTTCAGCCATTTAAAACAGAAAAACCTTCTAAACCAAACTGACCTGAGCTTGAACACGGACCACCTCTCTGACTTGGTGGAGGTAAGTGTCATTGGTCCCATTGTTGTGTTGGATAGTAAAGAAGCTCAGCACTTCTTGGACGTCGGTATCATTGGCTTTTATATCAAAAAGTCCTCCTGGGATGGGAAGTACTGCAGCAATTAGGGCTGCAAAGAAAAGTAATACAACCTTCCACATTGTTCTTCTGTAGGTTCAATTAGCAGAAAAACTTCTGGCAACTTGCTTGGCATTACGTCTCCTATAAATGATCCATCCAGTAGTTTTAGAGGAGCAATGAAGCCAATCAGCAGCCTCCTCAACAAAACCCTCCTCTTAGGGCGGCTTTTGCTGCCTCTGGCCTGCCCCGATTTCATTGATTTTTGAAAAAAAAAAAAAAAAAGTAAATGTACGGTAAAAAGGAGCGCTCTATCTAAAGTGCAAAGGTAACTTACAATTTAGCAAACACACTTATTTAAAAAACAAAGTCCAAAATTTCCTCATCAGGTTGACACAGTGATAGCTTGCTCTTGTATTTTTGTGTGCCCCTTTTTGTTCTCTTCCTGCAGATCTAGAAGCAGACTGTTGTTCATCATGGATTGTTTATTTTAGTGGAACCCACCCCTCCTTTTGACTCTTCCTTTCTCTTTCTTCTCTGTCTCCATGTCTGGTCGGAATTATAAAGCATTCAAAAAACAACAATAATAAAGTTTTAAGTATCAGGCGTGACATTAAAGCAGAAGCTTTGATGCTCCACCTGAGTGTAAATCTGTAAGGCTTGTCACCAGCATTCAGACATTAATTCTGTTAGCTTCACAGCTGGACAGGGCAGGAAAAAAAAACATGTCCGTCAACCATCAATCCATCCATTCTCTTCCACTTATTCAGGGTCCAGTTGTGGGGGCAGCAGCCTAAGTGGAGAGACCCAGATCTCCTTCTCCTCAGCAGCTCCTCTGGGGAAATTCTAAGGCCAGACGAGAAACATAGTCCCCCCAGCATGTCCTGGGTCTTCCTTTTGTCACGCTGTGAGTTGGGGGAGGTTAGGACCCAAGATGCAGTAACCAGGATGACACAAGGCAGGAGTTGTAGAAAAACAGTAAAGTCCTTTATCAGGGATAAACATCCAAATTCCTAATGCGTAATTCCTAGAGACCAAGTGCTCCTTTAAAGAGCAGACCTGGAGATATCCAAAAACCAAGAGACCTAGAGATTTCCTAAGATCAAGAGAGGGAACGAGACAATGTTGACACAAACAATGGACCAACAACCACACTGAGACGCAGACAAGGGCTGGGTGATTAGGGAATTGTGCACAGGTGAGCAGGGGAGGAAACCAGACTTAAAAATGGGGAAGGGAGCAAAACGAACTAGAGGGAGAAAACAGACTAGATAAAACACTTAACACAAGACTAATGATAAAGGTGTCTAAGGAAAAACGCAAGGGAAACCTAGAGAGCCTGGAGGGGGTTGGGGACACACAGGGATGCTGAAACCTGGGGGGAACACCTAAGGGGAAAAAACCTGGAGTGGCCTGGGGAACACAAGGAGGCACATGAGGAGGGATGCAGACAAGGAGACACATAAGGGAAACCTAGAGAGGGATGGAGAACACAAGGAGACACATGAGGGAGACGCAGGACGCAGACCATGACACCTTTAGGTGTCCTTCTGGTTGGACGTGTCCGGAAAACCTCACCAGGGAGGCGTCCAGGAGGCATCCTATCTAGATGCATGAGCCATCTCAACTGGCTCCTCTCGATGTGGAGGAGCTGGATGACCAAGCTTCTCACCCAATCTATTGAGTTTTCAAAATAAAAGCATCATACTTTCTTATTTGACTGTGCTGGTAATATTGCTTGCATAAAGAAAATTTAACATTTATACTAACAATTTGTCATGTTAGGATCGAGCCTTTTGACCCACGACATGCAGAATCACGAAGAGACAAAGTGAGTAAAAATAATACATTATCTATTGAGTTTGACGAGGCTGGGGAGACGTCGGAGGAGGGCGGTTCTGGCAGCGTTGGATTCCAGTAAGGTAGTGGAGCGCTGAGAGGAGGGCGTGTCAGGTCTGAGTGGTAGCTGTTGGAGGAGGCTGGGAGCTGAGCACCAGTTCCAGGAGCAGGCAGGTGAGAAGCAGGAGAGCAGACGCCCAAAGGGAGAAGCGGTGTGGCGGGTGGACAGGAGATCCGGAGGCGCCTTGTTGTAACAGGTGAGAGTGCAGGTTGACGAGCTGGTAACAGGCAGATGATGAGAGTACCTGGGCGGGAGAACGGAGGAACGGGACAGGTGATGACGAGGCTTTAACAGGCAGAACAGGATGCAAACAACTAGAAACAGGTCTAGAGCTGGTGTATACTACCCAATGTGAGTAATCATCCGGCACTGGTGAGTTGTCACACCGCTCCTTAAATCCCCTGCGAGCTGATGAGGGAATTCGCAGCAGCTGCTCTCCGGGCGCGCCCACCTGCAAACAGGAAAACTCATGGAGAGGTTAGCTCCACTCAATGTGACACAATTGATCGTTCTAAGTGTGCAATACTGAGTCATAACAACCACTCTTTTAATGAAAATCAAGTAAAATAAAAATTTGAAATATGCATGAATGCTAACAAACATTAATTCAAACAAATATTTAAAAATGTATTTAACTGAAATATGCAGCTTTTGCAGCATCACTTTTATTTTTGCATTTTGCCCCTTAGAAGTATAGAGAATATCTATGTGTGAAAATACGTGTCTGAGGTGCCTCCTTCAGGTAGAGATGGACACGCCGTCATTTCTCTAACACCTGGAAAACAAATCAGCTGTGGTTTTGTTTGGATTCAGAATCAAGTTGTTGTTACGGCACCACAATGATAAATTCTTTATGTAAACTCTGCATGCTGTCTCTTTGTTATCTAACCATGTTATCGTTCACAAGTTATTTCTCAATCATCAGAGAGGTGATTAAGTATACAGCAAGTGTCAAAATTTCATATGACGCTTTTGATTTTTAAGCTCATTTTTGTCACAACATCAGGCTAACGAAGAAGGCAGGAATATTTTTATTTTAAAAATTATTTCATCCCAAGTTACTGTGCATTTGTACATAAATGTTTAAGAGTTTAGAGTTGTTTTCCTCAGTTTATAATATTTTTTAACATCTTTAATTACTAAATACTGTGATGACCTATGTAAAATAACCAATTACTTTTCCAAGTCATGTGAAAATGAAGCAAGTATAATTTATTTTCTGAGAAAAGATTATTCTACAGACAACGTCTATCATTAGCTGCAGTCCTCTGTGGTCAGTGTCATTTCACCCATCCCCACACTGTAAAAACAGACAGCCTCAAAAAGTTGTTTCAATTTATTTTTCCTATGTCACCTAAGCCTCCCTGTAAAGTTTTGATTGTTAAACTCAGTTTTGTGTGTTTTGATGTTGAAAACTTAAAATTGCTTGTTATTTGAACAAATGATTATATTTTCCTCATTCTCATGTGTTCAGTCCACTTAAAACTGCAATTTATAGATTAAAAAATGACCCCGCCGACTGTGAAAGCTGCAGTGGGTGAGGCACATTGTGGGTAGTCATGTTCTTAGTTATTTTCAGTGGCGGTTCTACATGGAATTACTCCCCAGGTGAGGCCCCTTTGAGCCCCCCCCCCCCCCCCCCCCCCCACCACCACCATACCACCCCACCTGCACGAACACACACATGTTTTCTACAAACAGGCATGTTTTATTAGAACGACTATTGAATATTCATTTTTCTAAGTTGCACATATTTACATTAATTACTATGAAGTTGTCAGAATGTAAAGCAATATACATTATATACTGTATCAAAATATGTAGAATCAAATATACAAAAACAAACAATAACTAAATATTAAGAATATATGAACATAATATATAATAAATATTCTAAATAGCAAAAATATTTCACACATAACAAATTAAAGATAATCACTACAGCATTGCACTTAGAACAGAAAACACAAACTAAAATTAAAACCTAACCTTGATGCAAAGTCATCAATAATGTCATCATATGAATCTGCTCCCCTACTGAGTGATTGATACTAATCAGAGCCAGGTTAGTGAGCCGCCCCTGAAACATAGGTGACCTCAGGTATGACTTGATCAAGTTTTGAAAAGCTCCTCTTAGCTTGAGCCACAGTGACTGGCAGAGCAGTCCAAAAGTTGGGGTAGATCTCCAATAGATCTTTATCATGATCCATAATATTTTAGAATTGCCTCTGAAATTGTAATTTAAACTGACATAAAAAACTGTAGACTACCAAAAATGCCAACTTTTACAGAACAAATCATGTAAAAAATAATCAGTGCAGCCATCTGCAATAAACAGGATAGTTAGTGGTGACTGGGGAGTTTTCTTCTGCTTGTAGAGTTGTTTCATTATTATGTGAACATGATCAACATGTGTTTGTTGTTGTTCAGGCAGGCCACAGGCTGCAGCGAGCATTTAACAAATCCTAGTTTGAAGGATTTTTTTCAACCAGTTGAAAAAAACAAAGGAATTTTTTCGAACCATTTGAATATTCGTTTCAATATTTCAGCCCTATTAGCTCTGTTAGCAATTAGTTGACCGAATGTCACCGTTAAAATCCCAGTTAACTGGTTCAAAAAATTGAAAACATGCATCATGAAAGCGTACATACCTTTATCTTTCTCCTCTTTTTTTCTTTATTTTTTTCCTGAATCGGGAACCTGGTGGTTAGCCTTTTTATGTTCATCTCTTCTGTTTGGCTCTTGACTCAATAAGTGTCCTTTAGTCAGGACTAAAGAATTTGACCTTGATGGGGGGGGGGGGGGGGGGGGGGGGGGCACACACCACAAAATCATTTTGTTTTTCCTTTTTTTATTTGGCCATTTCACACAATTCAGAAAAACCTGAAAGAACGATAGGCCTGTGTTTATGATATTATGAATGAAATGTGTGTTAAATGGAAGAACATCAAGATGTGATTGGCTTTAGCCATGCTAATACTGCTGATTCAACCCCTACCCGCTCATTCATTTGGGAAAGACCCAGAGGTGAATTCCTCCGCCGCACCCCTCCCCTTCCTCTTCTTCATACACACACGGTGCATGTGAACGTTCTCAGTCAGCAGGAGCGCCTGCAGCAGCAGGGGGCGCCAACCTGCTGTTTCCAATCCAGACACTGTGAAATGACAGAACAGAAAACCCCGGTGCGGCGCAAATTTCTTTCTTTTTTATTTTTTACTCAGCGCTTGTGCGCCCCTTTTGTGTCATGAAAAA